ATCCTCCATGCCATATGTCAAACTGCCCAGCATCATTTCTCTCGGTCTCCCTCTGCCTTTCCTCCCCTCCAACTTTTCTACTGTCATGATGTACTCCATTTTTCTCATTCTCATCACATGACCAAATAATGTAGATTGTCTCTTTCGGATGTGGGCAATTCGTTCTCTTCGTAAGTGAGTTTCTTTCAAGACATCTTCATTGCTCTCTGTCCAGGGTATTCTCATCATTCGTCTATAAAACCACATCTCTACAGCTTCCAAATAAGTTTTCACTAATTTACCAACTGTCATAATTCACCATTCACAAAACTAACACTTGCAAACAGGGCATAATGACCCATTAATTCTCAATACTTCGCAGCGTCTAAACATTTTACTGTTAGTGCTGTTTGTTAAGGTAATTTAGTTCTTAGGAGTAAGGGCACAGAGAAAACATTGGGAGAAAGGTTTGCAGTCCCGCTAAAATATTTTTTGGAGCGGGCGGTCTTATGAGGCTTAATCCTTTTTCAAATGGGCAATAGTAATAATGTGCTGGGTGGCTAAATAATAATAATGTGCGGAGTGGCAAATAATTCTAAAAATATATTCGACATTAATTTGAAAATGCATGTACACATACCTAAATGGCGAACGTTTAAATAGAGTTAGGGGCCACTTTGCAAATGTTCTAGGATAAGAGAGCTCTATGTTTGTGATTATATCATACCGTTTATCCACCCCGCACCCTAAGCATTTGTTGGGGGCTTCAATGTGTTTGGTCCCCTAGGTTTCAGCGCCCTTGATTAAGTGTTATTTTTAGCAAACATCCGTGCCAGACATGTAGTAAATATTCAAGACAACCCCTGACCAGGTAGGCGGATTAGAGGTCATGTTACCATGAGTCACGTGGTTAATTAAATTGTGCTTATCGAGGAAGTATTGGTCTGGATGATGTTCTATGATTAATGTTTTTCTCCTACGGCAACTATCTGGTTAGGTTATTAACATTTCAAGGCAATGGACGTTTTAAGGTCTATCGTATGTGGTTACCGTATATATATATATATATATATATATATATATATATATATATATATATATATATATATATATATATATATATATATATATAAAGACTAATCAGCGCTTATAGTGTCACCATGAGGATAAGGATCACCCGTGCAGAGGTCCCGGAAACCTCGTTAAGCCTTCAGGCTATATTGCGGTTCCCGGCAACAGCCAGGATGGGGCTTCAAAATAACGAAAAATTGAATACCACATGGTAGACGTGTGTGTGTTTTTTAAATGGTAATTGAGATAAAACCGAAGTAAATAAATTTTACCCCACCAGGACATCACACAAGCGATAAACACCCGATAAAACAAAGTGCCACCATGCGGATGAGGATCACCCGTGGAGAGGTCCCGGAAACCGCGTTCAGCCATTAGGTCATATTAGGGCCCCTGGCAACAGCCAGGGTGGGGCTTAAAAAAAGGAAAAATTGCATCCCACAAGGGGACGATTTATGTGATAGTTGTCCGCGTATGGGTTTCAGGGCCCTGTTATAGGGAAAACATGAATAGACCCACTGCCTACCCAAAAGCATGTCGTAAGAGTCGACTAATTGGGAGTCGGAGTGCATGTGCCTGAGAGGCAAGGAACCAGTCTGCATACAAATGAGTCAGATCTGTTAAACGGGTGCACACGCAACACTCAGGTTCTGGAACAGGACTGAAGTCCAGAAGCGAATGAATAACCAGAACTGTCCGCCAGAGTTTACAGCTGGTGAACTCGAAGAAGAAGAAGAAGAAGATATGATAGTTAATGAACTCGGCCGTCCGTCCGTTGTGCCACAAGCGAGTCTTGTGATAGAGAATGCCATAAATTAGATTAGCAATCTTCTCCCTTCGTAAATTATAATAATAAAGAAGACTCAACACTGTATAACTTCTCTGTAAAACAAATGCGATTCGACATGCTAGCTGAGCTAAAACCGGAGGTACACGGTGAACTCGGCCGTCCGCTCGTCTGCTGTGACACCAGCGAGTTGTAACCGGTTCTCTCACAACAGGGAGGCGGCAGCTGAAGTCGGTCGGTCGTCTGCGGGCCAGGGAGATATCGTTCACTCGACATTTCTTCGACAGGAGACAACTGTTTCTTCTCGTATGGCATATCAAGTGTTTAATATAGATACCTGTGTTAGTCATCTGGAATTATATCATTTGACAGCATCAGTGATGTGATTAGGTGGTGTATTTGTGTTTATATCAGCATTATATAGTATCTTTTTATCTTATCAACATCAAGCTGTGTCCTTGTCGCATTGTTGTTGTATTTTATTTATAGTAATTATAGAAGTAGGGTAACGTACCTGCTTTTCTGTTATTTACTGTTTTTAGCAGGGGTGTTCTGTTCACCATAGAAAAATCGCAATGAGCCTTAGGAGCTGTAAATAAAATATTCATGCAAAGAATAGGCCGAATTGCATCAGTCGTATACTCATTCCGAAAACAAATTAAGTACTACAGTACTACTACTAGTCTACTAGGAATCACAACGAAAAGAGAGTGTCCTCAGTGTCGAAATAAATACAAACATGACTGAAATATTTTGGTAACTTTAAATAACCACCAGCTGTTGGATGTACATGAGTTTGGGTAACTAGGCTCACGAATTTTAGGCAGTCATCCCTAGATGCAGAGATAAATAGTCTGTTTAGGAAAGGCCTCTGCAATGTTTTCAGATCTCACTAAAGAGAGTCTGGTCAAACGAAAAGCTGTCTGATAATACCAAAATAAAAGTTTATGAGTCTTGTGTCTTGAGCACGCTACTGTACTGCAGAAAATCATGGACTATAAGCTCCTCCAGAAAGGAGACTAAATACCTTCCACATGCACTGGAGACTAAATACCTTTCACATGCCCTGGAGACTAAATACCTTCCACGTGCCCTGGAGACTAAATACCTTTCACATGCCCTGGAGACTAAATACCTTTCACATGCCCTGGAGACTAAATACCTTCCACATGCCCTGGAGACTAAATACCTTTCACATGCCCTGGAGACTAAATACCTTTCACGTGCCCTGGAGACTAAATACCTTCCACATGCCCTGGAGACTAAATACCTTTCACATGCCCTGGAGACTAAATACCTTCCACGTGCCCTGGAGACTAAATACCTTCCACGTGCCCTGGAGACTAAATACCTTTCACATGCACTGGAGACTAAATACCTTTCACATGCCCTGGAGACTAAACACCTTTCACATGCCCTGGAGACTAAATACCTTTCACATGCCCTGGAGACTAAATACCTTCCACATGCCCTGGAGACTAAATACCTTTCACATGCCCTGGAGACTAAATACCTTTCACGTGCCCTGCGCAGGGCGCATCCTCTGTATATCATGGCAAGACCTTTTCTCCAACAAATGTATTCTCACAAAAGCAAAATACTATCAGTGTACTGTCTGTTGAAGAAAAGATGTCTGCGTTGTTGGGGCAGGTCTCCCACATGGAGGGTGTTCGTATTCCGAAGGACCTCCTTTATAGTGAACTAAAAACAGGGAATAGACTTACATAAAGGCCATAGCTAAAGTTCAACCACATATGCAAAAATGACCTGATAGATACCAACATAGGCACAGAGACTTGGGAAACTTCAGCTGCAGAACGACAAGTATGGCACAGAAAGTGAAAGACAGATTGTCACAGTCTGAAAGAAACCAAACGCTGCGAGCTATAGAGAGGAGATGACAGAGAGTAAATCAGCCTCATATCGTTGGAGTATCTACTTTATTGTGTATCTTTGGTGACAGAGACTGTCACTCTCACATGGGACTTTGCAATCACGGCAGATGCTGTTCCCAAAGCCAGCAACACATCTCCATAGTCCCCAAGGACGGATGGACACCTTTATTATTGTTATAAATAATATAACTCCCTTTTTCTTAAACAATGCTAGAAGGGAAAGTTGAAGGTAAGAGGCAGACAGTGGCACAAAAGGGAAGACAACATTAGGAGGCAAACAGCAGACCCAGAGAGTGTACGTCCATAACATGCTGATAATGTTTCAAATAATAATGTAAATTAAACAAATGCCTGAACGAATCTATTACAATACATTTTGTTGTCAGCATTTTTTTCCCCACTTGAGCGTATACTGAAAAAATATGTATGTCACTCTTTTGGTGCTTGTACCCCCTATTCGTTGCCAGGTTTGTGTCATCAAGTGAACACATTGTTATACATAATGTCCTCAGCTTGACATATTCGCAACTGCCCTCTTTTTAACCTGTTATCTTTTTGCCTTCTTAAATTTGACTGTACAGTATGTTTTGGCTTGGGCTATAAAAAGACACATTAATTTTTTTCTGCTCGTGTTTAAGTATTTGCTCATTTTTTATTTTGGGTACAAGGAACTAATCATGGAATTCACCCCAACTCCCTCGCACATGAGATTGTAGAGCTGTTCCCACGGGCTGTCTAATCTTTTAGGGATGCTATTAGATCGCTCTCTTCGCTGTCTATACACAGCATGGTGAAAAGTAACAGGCGTTCGTTCTGCGAGGTCGACACACGGCCTCCCAGACACAGCTGCCCGGTTTTTTCCCCCGCTACTTTTGTTTGTGTGAACGAGTGTTGTTTTTTGGAATATGTTGTTACTGTGAGAAGCACTGCCAGGTGAAGGGCTGAAGGTGCGGCCGTTTCTGAGTATTGAACCATTGATATTTGTGTATTTTTACGCTTGTTGGCTTTGGATGAAGCAACAACTGACACCCCTGAAACATAGGACAGCCAGTGTAAAGGACCACAAGATCTCGCGTGTGACTGACCTGGGGTGAATTCTGTAATTAGTAAGTTATTAATATAAATTTTACTATATCCTGCAGGTTTTGGGCATTTCATTCGTGGATTTACTTATTGATGGATAGAACAGTTTTGTAATTGTCTTCTAGAATTCATTATCACAACTGTATTCTAAAAGCAAACAGAATCTAGTTGGTAAATAAAGAACAATGAGTGTAGAAGTGAAATTTATTGTCAGTGTGGACACATCTAAGGGACAGTGTGTATGCCTAGTTGGGGATGATGTCCGACTGGGATCTTGGGACCCAGTAAGGGCAGTGGAGATGCAGAGAGAATTCACAGGGCAGAATTGGTAAGTGGTTGATAAATATATATTGTTGTTGAATTTAGTAATAATGTGTGCGGCTGAGACATGAATGATACAGGTGTTGAGATTGCTTTATGGGAACAGGATGCCATTGACGTGTTGCATGGAGGGTAAAAAGACTTTTCCTAACACGAGCGGGTTTTGCTAGTCACACTGACCATTGCTGTGGGCTCTGATTCCCATGCTTGTGTGGGGCATGATATAACTCTGTCATCTAGAAGGACAGAAAGGTGCTAACATAGGGATTTTCTAGAAGGAAAAAGATCCCATTGCCACACTTTGTGTCATAACCTAATATATGTGAAGGTCTGAGATTTCACATTACTATGAAAATCTTCTTCTTCTGCTTTTGTTTGCATGAAAATAGATTAGCTATATTTGCAACGCTGTCTCTAGTATGAACTTCACTGTTTTTTCTAATTCACTTAGCGGCCCATGAAGTTTGGCTTTAATCAATGTCTCTCTTGGCCAGAAGTTTTGCCTGGAAATGTTGTATTTGGGACAGTCTTGGAGGATGTGATCTGTTATCTCAGGTGCCAGTCCACATTGCTTTTTCGCCAATCTTAAATTGTGTGTGCATATAGCTGCAAAGTGGAATGTGCCCTGTTCTAAGGCGTGGACATTACTATGAAAATATCTTTTTTCGTAATACCGGAGTGCCTGGTTTGATCCCAGCTGCGGGCCTTGCGCCTTCCTTTGGTTTCAACAGTAATATTGAGAAGCCAACTGTCCAGAAAACAATGGCAAACTACTGAACATAAATTTGCCTAGAAAAACTACAACCTAAAATGCTTGGGTTTTTTCTGCAATGTACTGTAAAGGATACGCAACTAATTTTAATGTAAAACTCAAGTTCTGGAACAAGGCCTAAAGTACAATAGTGGGTGAACAACCAGAATTTTCCATGGAGTTTACAGCTGATGAATGCGAAGAAGAAGAAGATGAAGAAGCTAAGGAAGAACAAGAATGGAAAGATAAGTTAAGAAGGCAACATATTTGTGCATTCATGCATGCCTGGTTTGTGTTTGTTTATTCTTCTCACAACATTTGATGACTAAATGATTAGCACACACATATACCAACGCATGTATTGCAGGTTTACTACCCACTTGTATTCTTACATCTGCCCGAGAGGCAGCAAACAGCACTGTACACAAAAAGCCAGTAAAAAAGCATTACAGGCAAAACTCAGGTCTTGGTAAAAGGCCAAAGTCTGAAAGGATGAATTGGTAAATGCAAAAAAGAAAAAAGACAATCCCCTGGTGAACATAGTGACATGCTTAAACCAGCAGTTAATTTTAAGAGCAGCAGATGAGATTGTTTGGCCATCTAAGGAGATTTCTTTGTTGGTACCAACTGCCCCAGAGAGCCACACAGAAGAAAACAACAAGCAAACCCACATGCAAAGATAGAATGACAGCATCAAGGACATCCTCAAAGATATGTTGTTGTTGTTCATCATTCATCAGTGATGAAGATCACTTTCATCCAAAGTAGTGACTTGCGCAAGGACTTGGATTTAAGTGAGGAAGAGTTGCACAATTTGTCGACCTCACTCTCTCGTCTGTGTCCATCTTGAGCCAATGGCAGGACAATGTTGAGACGATTGGAAATGGACCTAGGTGCAGTGGATGACCAAGGCGTCTTAAGTGTCATGCCTTGCTCGAAGCTCTTCACAGAGCCTGCTGGTAAACGCCTTCTTGTCTGTTGAACCAATAAAAGGTTTCATCCGCACAATCAGCTGAGTCTAGTATTTACATGCAGGGTAATCAAATCCCAATCACCGAGTGGTTTAGAACCAAATCAGTACCTACCCCCCAACACATAAATAAGGAAACTAGAGGAAGAGGAGAAGAAGAGGTGAAATGCAAATAATGTGACAAGTACAGGTATTTACTTGATACAGGTTAGGTGATAATGTGAAGTGGTGAGCTATGACTAGCTGTGGTTGTTGATATGAAACATGATATTGTGTTCAGTAAAGCTTTATGTTAGATAACTGCAGAATATAAGAACATGTGCAACTTATTCAGACCAAAAATAATTGTCTTTGTTATTTTTTGTTCCACAGTATTTTTCTGTCTCTTGTACCTTTTACTGGTTCTTCTTTCCTTTATTCCCTAGTGGAGCATAGGCTGCAAACAGTTCTTGCTGAGCTTACCCCATTCCTCCCTGTCTTTTCACTTCTCCGATTTACATCTCTATGAGTTTTACAGTCTGCCTTCATTCCTGTGACCCAGCAGGTTACAATGCAAGGGTGTTCTAATTATTTTGTTTCAGGTTTTCTTGATGTTCTCCTATCCAACGCCAGCATCTTGTCCTCAGTTCTCTTGCTGGTTCTGGTTCCTTACGTTTTCTTCATATTTTTCTCAATTTGTTTTTGAAAACATGCTTTGTCAGCAGTTAATAGTTGTACTCCCAGTTTTTGAAAACATGCTTTGTCAGCAGTTAATAGTTGTACTCCCAGTTTTTGAAAACATGCTTTGTCAGCAGTTAATAGTTGTACTCCCAGTTTTTGAAAACATGCTTTGTCAGCAGTTAATAGTTGTACTCCCAGTTTTTGAAAACATGCTTTGTCAGCAGTTAATAGTTGTACTCCCAGTTTTTGAAAACATGCTTTGTCAGCAGTTAATAGTTGTACTCCCAGTTTTTGAAAACATGCTTTGTCAGCAGTTAATAGTTGTACTCCCAGTTTTTGAAAACATGCTTTGTCAGCAGTTAATAGTTGTACTCCCAGTTTTTGAAAACATGCTTTGTCAGCAGTTAATAGTTGTACTCCCAGTTTTTGAAAACATGCTTTGTCAGCAGTTAATAGTTGTACTCCCAGTTTGAAAACATGCTTTGTCAGCAGTTAATAGTTGTACTCCCAGTTTTTTAAAGTTTAAAATAAAAATATATGATTATTCCTTACACAGGAAACTGTGGACTTGCTCCGTGATTTTAGACAAGAATGCCACATACGGATATCGTTTCTTTGTCAGCAAACAGCGACAGGCTATACACAAGCAAATGGACACAGATGCTGCCTCTCCTACCTGTCCAACAACTCTGTCAAACAACAGTGAAAGCAGTGTTCCTGTGACAATATACAAGTGGGAAACAAATATTAAACCCAGACGCTTGTCTACAGAAAGTGAGTATTGTAAAATAAACATGATGTAAAGATGTTTCAACTAGAGATTAAAAAACAAAGTAAGTAAAGGACCCTTTCCACGCCATTAGGCGTATAGGGCATATAGGGCTAGACCTATATTTTTATAGACTAATCAGCACAAGATGGGTGATGTGGTCAGCATCACGCCAGCTGCCTTTACTTCCAGAGACTGCACCGGGTACCCACTCAAGGCTGGGTCAACCTGGGAGCAAAGGTCATTTACTGTAATCACATCCTCCCTCTGTGGGTTCCAGAGCCTGATGTTTGGGGAAAGAAGACTAGAATCGCTGCCTTCTGACATGTAAGTTGAATCACATCAACTGGCTGGTTCACACACACTCCCCCTCCCCCCACCTCTTCACTGTCATTCTCTGCAGTCTTTCTCAGCACACACACATATACAATAAACATGCCACTCAAGGTCTGTTTAACAAAAACCACCTTGGTCCCTTTTACTTGGCTTATATACGACATGTACACACAAGAGCGAGATGGATATGCAATCAGACAGTTACAGCTGCCATCGGAAATGTAACTCTTAGCTTCTGCTGAAGATGGGTGACGAGGCATCTGTGGGAGTGTCCCGAGTGCTGGGATTTCGATTCTCAATTCAACATTCACCAACATTCAACATCTACGAATATGTCTTAGACATAGTTAGTTAATCAGTTGAATTCATTTTTCAGACTGTGATGGGGTGTTGGAACTTCCTGAAGCATCTTTTGGAACATATGGTAAGACTTTTAAAACTGTATCATCAAACCTTGGATAGCTTAATGTACTCCACAGCTAGGGTGACCATATCGTTGGGACAGTATACATTTTTTTTTAAGGTAAGCCAGACCGTCCTGTCAGTACTCAACAACAGAATTCCATTATTCCGATCAACGCTGAGTATCAACAGGATGGCCTGGGCTTACCTTAAAAATGATACAGTTCTGGCAAAAACGTGACTTGTGGTCACACTATACACAGCTCAACTATAGGACAATCTGTTCTTGCATAATCTAACCCCTATACATACAATCAAGTTGTTTTAACAATCTTCCCTTGTGTCTTATACAACTTTTTTTTTTTAAAAAGTCATTAGTATTACTGTCTTGTTCTATATATTAGGGGACTACGTGGTCTCAAGGCATGGTGTCCGCCTTGAGTGCTAGAGGTTCCGGGTTCAATCCCCGGTAAGGGCTGGGATTTTTTCACATAGACTTGGACTTCTAGTAATTCCCCCTGGTCTCTGGGTAGTGAGATTGGATGCCTATGTGCATTGTTGCGCACGTAAAAAATCCCTTGGCAGTTGGAAATCAAAAAGAGTAACCTAATGGCACTGCCCAGGCAAAATTTTGAGTTAAAAATCTACCCAAAGCATTTCAGGATCCTCACTGGTGCTACAGAGCCTGTGCACTCTGCTGAGCTTCTTCTGACTCAGATTTGAATTAGAAGAGAAAGGAGCACTTATGGGTTACACCCGTGTGCCATTATGTTGATTCGTTGTTCAAAATCTCAAACCTCTGTATTTTATCCTCTATATGAGAGTTACCATAAAACTTAGCAGTAGTTAGTCATGTTGAAGTAATTGTCACATATTTCCCGTACTTTTAAAATGCATATATTGTTATTGTTATTAAGAATAATCCCAGTAAAAGATGTGTGAATGAAATATTATACAGAGAAAGCTAAGAAGGACAGAATGTTAGATGGTTCTGTTTCAGATTGTATAGCTGGGAACCGATTATGACATAGTTGCAGAAATCACTGCATTTTCTAAAGTTTGTTTGAGAAGAAAGCAATAAAATAAGATAATTGATCAATAACACACCATAATGCCAACGCAGACACACATTTGTAACATAAGAAACTTCACTAATATATGACAGTAAAAGTCAGAAAAGCGTTAAAAATAGGAAGTAAAAAAAAGTTAAACACATTCAAAAACAAATGTCTGAGAAGATTGATGAACATTGAAATGGATTATATCATGAAAGGCAAAGAAATCATAGAAATTGTCTTGACGACTGCTGATTTCAACAGTTACAAGAGAAACAAGATGTTATGGTATATTGGGAACATTAACAGACAAAGAATCACAAAACAGACACTGAAATGAGAAACATATAGACTGATTAAACAAGGACATAAAAGACAAATCCAGTGGTGAGTGAGAGACACCAGAGGTGCTTGACTTTGATTCCATATATAATTTAAAAAGAATTGCATATGATAGAACAGATCACGGTGAGGGTATTCAGGGCCCCATTTTTGGGGGGAAAGAATAGACCCACTACCACCTAACAAGCTTGCCATAAAAGATGACTAATTAGGGATATTTCCTTTAAAGTTAGAGTGCATCTGCAGAAGAGACAAAGAACCAGTAGTCTGAGAAACAAGGAACCAGTAATCTGCATGCAAATAAGTCAGAACTGTGAAATACAGATGTGCTCGCACAACTCAAGTTTTGGAACAAGACTAAAAGTGCGGAGAGAACAGAGGGCTTTCATGGTCCTCAGTGCACAGAGGAAAAGATAGGCAGACTTTAATCAGGTTGTCACTGTCAGAATGTTAACTCTTCACCGGTTGCTGTAGAAGACACTGAAATATGTGTGGAAATATCCTGATTGTGGTGATGTCAGTTCTTGAGTGATTCTTCTTGCATTGTCTGCATTCAACCTTAAAAGGGGGAGTCGGCACACTGTGTTGTTATTTATGTTGTTTTGTGCACGTTTTTCTGCTTCCCTGTTTTGTTAAGCTTTTTAGTCACATTTCACTGGAATTCCATGTGTTGTGGTTTACGGCTTGGCTGTGATATCTATGCTTTTTGGCCCAACACTTCTAATTTAAGCAAACCCTTTATTAGTAACCTTTTATAATATGCTTGTAAAAGATCTGTTTCTTCCCTTGCCCCTTTCAATGGGGCCCTGGAGCCCACACACACAGACATTGTTGCATTCATTTATACCTTATTTACAGACGACTCTTGTAATGTTGGCAAGGGTTGGCTGATCAATCAGTGTGAAGTTCAAGTCCGCCTACACAGCAATCCCATTTACATGTGGAAAGCTAGGCACAGAGAGCAGACCTTCAGTATCAAGTGTATAGCCATGGACTACAGCTCCCAGGTGGGAATCATAGCTAGTGCTTCCTAACTGTACAGTTTGTTGCTTACTGTAAGTGTCAGCAGATGACAGATAAACTACATAATACGAGAGGAAGTCAGTCAGTAAGTCCCAAATGGTTATGGGATATCAGGGAAATGTAGTTGATGGTTTCTGAAGGTGTCATTAGGTTTAAGATTTTTTACGGAGTGAAAGGGTTAAAAGGAAGAAGAAGAATGGAAGTTAAAAAGGGATGAAGAAGTGTGGGCATTTAAGAGAAGATGAAATGTAAGAGTGTAAAGAAAGAAGAGAGACACATGATTGGTTATTTTAACCCTTTGGAGACAGAGCCTTTTAAGAGTTACGGTGCCAAGAAGATGGAGCCTTCAGGAGGGGATTCTCATAGTTTATGCACACAAAAATTATAAAAAATAAAACATTTAATTAACATATATAAAAATATATATATATTCGTGTAGGAAATTGATTGAACTAACAGAATATTTATGAATCAAACTAAAATCTCAACTTTTATTCAAATTAACTATTCTGATTTGCATAATTTATGCAAGCAATTTTTATAAAACTTGGAAACAAACATAACTAACCTTTATGGATGAAGCTTGAATAAGTCCTAACACCTGTATTTTGGAAAGTATGGCCCTTGGAGGCCCTTTAGACACTTCTGGCACATAGTTCTACTCATTTTCCTGCCTCCAGCCATGTTTCAGTTGCTATGATGCAACAGTCCTTTCGCCATTTCTTGGGCACAGGCAACCCCAGAAAAAAATTGATGTAAAATCGCAGAACACATCAAACTTTCTCAAAAGCCATCAATGAACAGCCCATATGTGCAAGAAATGCGAGAAGCAGTCTGATTGGCTGGTGTGAAAACCTACCAGCCAGTATCATGGCTTTTATTTATTACACAGGGGTGACCGATGGACCCAGCCGTACTTCTGGCTACTTTGCGTTGGGCTGATAATTTCTCCGCGTGGTCTCCAGAGGGTTAATCATTATCGGACAAACCATGGTTGCCTGCCCAGAGAAGACACATTACTCATGTAGTGGGGCATTGGTCAACCTCTAGTTGGTCTAGCCAGGAAAACGGTTCTTCATTGGGGATCTTTATTGGCAATTCACTGACTACTATGCTACCATTGCCTCTTTAAAGTATTGCATTAGATGTACTGAAAATTGCGGCCAATATGTAGAGTTTGCAAGCCAAAAAAATGCTTCCAAATCTAAAGGTAGACTTAGGTGTCAGGTATAATATGCAAATCTTTACTGGTTATAAGTTACATGGGTCAGCATTCCTAATATGCGCTGTACACCACTTACTCTACCTCCAGCGATCTGTCCATTATCTTTTTCTGTTTAGTGTTCACTGGCTGTAAACTCCTAAAAATTCTGGCTGTTCATCCACTTCTGGAGTCTCATCCCAGAACTTGAGTTTTGCATGCACATCCATTTTAAAGATCTGCCATATTTATATGCAGACTGTTGGTTCCTCACCTGTCAGGTATATGCACTCTGGCTTTGAAGGAAACACAGTTGCCTTTTACCTGCCTGTTAATAACAAGCATTCATTAAAAGGATGGGAGTGTGATCTCAGAGTTGATTGTGTCACAGCTGCACAGTTTTGCACTTCACTAGGTGACGCTGCTGATGTCACAGTTTTCAAATATTCACCAAGTTATACTGAATCAGTAAATGGTACCTACTGTTGTGTGTGTTTTAGATTGTTGTCCATACATTGCGTATAATCTCTTTTGGTCCCATAAGGTTTGGAACAAAAATCATTATTGTTTTAATTAAATATTGCCACAGAAATTCTAATCAATTTCTGTATTGTAGGAATGAAAAATGAATGAAAGATACCTCTGTCGTTACCAGATTTATTTAGTATACTCTGACCAAAACTTAAATATAAGAAGACATCTCATGGGGAATAATCAGTAACACGTTAATTGTTTGGCAATGAAAGAGTTGAAAGAAATTACAATTACTGTCTCAATATATAGGTACGTGGTGTGACTTATGTACACAGGTAATCATATAGTGTAGTCTAACTTCCTTTACTGCTAGACCTAAGGTTTGAGTCACTGTTAGCCAGTCCTATGCTTGGAGCATGATCTACACAGTATGTTTACGCCTAACTCAGAAATATTAACTTCAATTCCTGAGCTACATTTGTACTGCAGATAGACTTGTATGCCATAGTTTACAGTATTTAAAAATTTTTTGGCAGGGGGGTCCTCCGTTTGATGATGCCTCTGATGATGATTCCAGAGACGGACCTGATCCTTGTTCAGTGGATGATGTCCTAGTTTGCGTAAGTAAATAATTCTCGTCATGTTTCATACTTTACAGTCTTTCACATTAGGTTAAACATTCTCTTCTACTTTTAAGTTGTACAAATTCTAGGGTGAATAATTCCTAAGTTCTTGTTTAACCCTGCCACACATGTATCTGGTGACTCTTGCTGTGACCCTGTGACCTCTAGCACTGAGGCTTACAGGAAAATTTGATATCAGCTTGGCTTTAAAACACTGTTTGGTTCGTAGGAAAAACACCCCAAGTTGCTATTGTTAGAGAAAAAGCTTGAATATTCATATCCTGACCTACTAAATGTTTGCATAGGCATGAACTAAGCAAATAGCATTAAGTATGTATCTCATAAATGCATCATTGGGGGAAAGCTGAAAATGTGGCATTTAGGGAGATTGGATGCAAACAAAAGTCTCAGTTTTGTGGCTTCTCTGCGCGACAGGATTAATTACAGAATTGTTCAGTTAAGTTAGAATATAGTCTGCCATTGGTGTAGTGGCTAGATGCTAGCCTGTCGGCCTGAAGGTATTGGGTTTGATTCTGCATTGAGCCGATTTTTCTTTCATAAATGACCTTGGCTTCCTGGTCGACTCAGCATAAAATGGGTGCCAGGTGAAATGTCTTGGGAAGTAAAGGCAACCAACATGATGTTGACCAGATCATCCATCATGTTTTAATTGATTTGCCACTAAATGTTGAATTAAGAATCATCGACATCACAGCACTCTGGACACTCCCATAAGTTCTCTGTCCCCATCTTCAGCAGCAAGCGAATTCCAATTCCGATGGTACCAGAAACTGTCTGATTGTATATCCATCTCATCCTTCCCCTGAGTGTTGAGCTGATTTGCCTCTTTTTTGAAGAGAGTCCTTCACCTTACTTGTTATAGTCTAACACTTCACATCTCAACAAATCAACAATAATCTCTACCATGGGACTGCATGCATCTATTTATCAGTAGCCAGTGTTTGAAAGCATCATTTTCTTATCAAAGAATGAGTTAATGTATTATTTTCAAAGGTCGCTGTAGATTTTTATGTTCCTGTTCTGCCCGTTATTCCCAGTTGTAGAAAGGCCCAAACAGTTTCATGCCAGGTCATCCTATTTTTTGCCATATCTAACAGCTCAGACCATGCCCGCCACATATTATTAATGTCTTTAATTTTCTGCTCCGTTCGTTTTCAGGTCTCTGTCTTGTATACCTTGTGGGTTCCAGTGAATGGACATTCTGACATTTAATTCCTTATATTCTGTATACCAGTTAACGATTACCCACTTAATTAATTAGTTCTTTATTTATTCTGCATGTTTCTGCTTCCGACTGTAGTGCTGATTGACATTACAATTCACTCAGTAAATCAGGTGCTGTTTTCACAAGGAAGGGTGGCTGCAGTGCTGGATCTGCAACACCGTCTTTCTTGTGTCTTAATAGTACACTCTATGAAACTGCTGTTTGTCCATCTCTTGCTTTTGCCCTCCAAGTGGTATTGTTGTCTCCGGTGTGGTTTTCAAAAGAGTGTTGTCTTTTAATGTGGCTGAAATATTTCATTGTCCCTTTTTTAAACATTTCTTTCAGTAATTATTTTCATTCCCAGTCTGTGCAGAACCAATGAATTTAATTATTTTTGTTTCCATGAAATACAAATTATTCTTCTGTATATCCACATCTCCAGAGACTCAATACATACAGTTTTCTAGTTGCTTGTTCCTTGTCTAGATTTCTGCAACATACAGCAGGGTTGAGTAAACATAATACTTGATAATTCTCATTTTTTAATGTGTTGTATACATAACACTTGACATTTCTCATTTTTAATGTGTTATTTATCCTTCTAGATATCAGTAATTTTTTCCAGCTTATTGAAGATAGTTAAGCCTTTCCTATTCTCTTGATTTCTTATTCATTTCTGCCATCATCAGTTATTACAGTAAAATACAGTTTAATCTCTTTTGACTGCCATTTATTTCCTAGAGTTACGAAAGCTCTTTTTGAATTATTATATATCTCTAGATGTTGTCAACATTGCTGTGTAACAGATTGAACCGCTTGAGACTAAAGGTGAGGGGACCAGACTTCTTTCTATGTTTAATGCTGGCACGGGAAAGAAGGAAGAGCAAATATGAGTGCTGATGAATCCTCCGTGTGGGTTCAGGAGCCCCCATTGTGGAGGAATACAAGAATAAGACTCACTGCCTCCCCAACAACAAGCATGTAGTAGGAGTTGACTTAATGGGGACATCCTTTGGAGTCGGAGTGCATCTTCCTGAGAGGCAAGGAACCACAAGTCTGCATACAAATAAGCCAGATCTTTGAAATGGATGTTCTTGAACAAGACCAAAGTCTGGATGTGGATGAACACCCAGAGTGCATCTGACATTTAATCTATCCAAGCAGTAGCAAAGGAGTTGAGCTTAACAGCAATGCATAACTTAGGTCTAAAGGGATCCAATAGACACTATGGGACACATGTGGTTAAACTATTAATTCAGATATAAAGAGTTAATATAACAACTATATGTGAAAGAAGACAGCATGAACATTCTTTTGTTTTTGGAAGCACCAAGAAACATTTATTAAGTTGTTACTGCAATCATTTCAAAGATGACAAGCTTATTAAAACTAATTATGCTAATATTTGGGGGCTGTGTGGTCTTGAGGCATGGTGTCCGCCTCGAGTGCTGGAGGTTCCGGGTTCAATCCCCGGTAAGGGCTGGGATTTTTTCACATGGAGTTGGACTTCTAGTATTCCGACTGATCTCTGGGTAGTGAGATGGACACTCGTGTGCATTGTTGTGCACGCAAAAATTCTCTTGGCAGCTGGAAATCGAAAAGAGTAGCCTAACAGCACTGCCTGGGCAAAATTTTGAGTAACAAATTGACCCAAAGTATTTCAGGATCCTCGCCAATGCTACAGAGCCTGTGCACTGTGCTGAACCTCTTCGGACTCAGACATGAGTTAGAAGAAGAAACTAGCACTAATGGGTTGCTAACCTTGTGCCATGATGTTTGTCCGTTGTTTAAAACGCTATGCTAAAATTTGTTTTCAAAGATCATTATTCATTCTACCAGATTAGATTCCCTCTGCTTACTTATTGTTTTTGCGTTGAAATCAGGGTTTCCAACTGGATTTTTTTGTCTGTGAAACAAACCGGGCACCACGGTTTGTTGGTTCTTCTCATCTCTTGCCATTCAAAGTAAAAGAATCTCAGAGCACAAGGAAGATTCCCATCATTGGATGCAACCACAAGCCAATTGGGGAAGTCATGGGTGAGTTCATTTCACAGCCTTTCAATCACTTGTTTCAAGTCCGTGTAATAGTTAATTACATGTTAGCTTGCTCAATGTAGCATATGTTCCAATTTATTGAGTTTAAATGGTGGTAAAGGTTGATTTATTTATGTAAATTTTTAGTTGCTGTAAACAGAGTTAGAATTCAGGCTTTGCTATGATTTCAACAGTATGAATATTGAAATGTTCAGAAAGCAATGCAAAACTGCAGAACATAAATTTATCTTGTTAAACAATAAGTGGCTGAAAATTCATCAGTTGATTTGTGACGTCCTGAAAAGGAAATGCAACTGACAGTAAACAGGATTAATGAATGTACAAAACCCATAAAGAGATATAATGTTTTGCATTGCAGTTATGTGTTTCAGTTCAGTATAGTTCATTGTGGATTTTTACCATTGACACTTGTTATGTTTGACACCCAGAGTTTGAGGTGCTTATTAGAATGTCAGCTATGGAAAGACAAAAATATTGAAGACATCAGTAGCAGTTGTCACACTAGTGACCCCCCCCCCCCCCCCCCCCAAAAAAAATTATAATAATTAGGGAACAGATTACTTTGAACTATTTAGGTAGCAATTTTGATTGCCAGTGAATTCATAGAAAACATTTACATACATACTGGCCAGGCAACGGCATCTTTTCAAATAGTAGTTTTAAAACCAAATCATGTGTTTTTCATTTTAATGTTAAGTCAGCTTTAATATATGTCAGTAACAGTTCAGGAGCAACTGCAGACATGTAGCAAAAATGTATTTGAAAACAAATGCCTTAGCTAAATGATGGACATTCTTACTCATAAAGTCCATGCACTGTGGCGTTGCTAGTCATGTCTATCCATAACCTTCTGTATCATGTAATCTCAATCAACACTGATACAGATCATCCTCCCTGCTGTAATGTCACACTGTCCAACATCTTTTCTCTCTGTCTCTTTCTGTTTCTTCTCCCCTTCAACTTTCCTACTGTCACGTTGTACCCCAGTTTTCTCCTTTTCATCACATGATCAGAAAATGTAGATTGTCTCTTTCTGATGTGGGCAATCAGTTGTTTTCATGAGTTAGTTTCTTTAAAGACATCTTCATTACTCTTTTTATCTGTCCAGGATATTCTCATCATTCGTCTATAAAACCACATCTCTGCAGCTTCCAAATAAGTTTTCACTAATTCACCTACTGTTTGTGATTCACTGCCATTTATCAAGATAGGATTTATAAAGCTTTTAAGAATTCTCTTTCTCATCTCAATTGACAGAGAAAATATTCTTCATTGTGTAAAATGCTACCTTTGCTTAAGCTTTTCTACATTTAACATCTTTAACACATCTTCCACCTGATGAAAATTAAATGGAATAAATTTCAGAATGTTAAAGACATTGATGAAATAAGGAAATGTCTGGACAACCGCTTCTTTCAACAGTTATAAGAACAAGAAGATGGCAGTATGTCAGCACTTCATGAGGAGAAGTGAAAAGAAGATCACTAAACAGGGTACTGACATGGGAACATAGGAAACTAATGGATTGAGTAAAGAAAATGTCCAAGAGAAACAATGAGATAAACACAGAGAGAGGCCAAAGGTGTGGACTGGATTCCATCCATGATTTAGAAAGTATTGCATTAGATAGAATAATATGGAGGACTAGATTGCAAGCTCCATGTGATGATGTATCATTAGGTTAGTGAATAATGATGAAACTCTGACACCAACATGATTGCATGACATGGGAGTAAAGCATGGTGAAGCACATATGTGCGTCTTTAAGGACGAGATAGGAAATATTATAACCAGCTCCTCGTGGGAGCAGTCAGGGTAGATAACTTGTAGAGGCTGTTGCATCAGAGGACAACTATCTTCTAAATCCTCATATCTAACGCAAGATGTCTTACAAAGATTAGAACAATAATCACCGTAACAAAAGTGGCTTTTAACAAGATGTAAAAGATACTCACTAGTAAAATATGCAGATTGCAGTGAAATAATGTGTTGAAATTGCTACATTAAAATTGTGGTTTTTTTGGGGGAGGGGGTGAGGACATGTGAGACATGGATAATAAGCAGACAAGCTGAAAAATACATACTTATGGTGGAGATGTTGTTTTGAGAAGAATGCAAGGGTTCACATGGAATGATAGAAAAACAGATGAGGCAGTCCTCCACAATGGATGTTGAATTAAGAATTGACATCACAGCACTCCGGACATTTCCATAAGCGCTGAGTCCCACCTTCAGCAGCAAGCGAAGAGTTCCAGTTCTGATGGTATGATTGTATATCCGTCTAGCCCTTCCCTTGAGTGATCAGCGTCAGCCAGATCCCCTGGTAACTCCTAGCAGCATCATTCTCCTCAGACCATAATGATCTGTTTAGGCCTCTGCACTGTTCACTCGCTCCAAAACACCCTCAAAACAGATAGTTTGTCATACATCAATTCACTACCAAGTGATGCAGAACTGGCCAGTTTATCGGCTCATTTCCCAACACACCGGCATTACCTGGAGAAAATATCTTAAGGATGCTAACTACAAAAGACAGATGAAAATCATTAACTCATTACAGAAATTAGAGGCAGACAATCGGTGCTTTTTGGACTTGTAAGAAGGAGTGAACTCGAGAACCTGGTTATGCTGGCTAGATTGATGGAAAAAAGAGGCATAAACAGTTCAATCATTTTTCAGATTTACGCTACATGATGATTCTGTTGGAAGATGGCATACAGAAGGAACCACTGATAACTGTCTTGACATTATGGTGTACATAGAACAAAAACAGCATCTAAATTTTACGTATATTTTTCTGTCAAGTAGAAAATCAAAATAGTTGAAAACCTGGATGGCTTGGCCAAATGGGTGTGGCGAGACAAGAGCACTAACTTGATCTATGATTCTAGTGATCGTGTTAGATGACAAAACATACCCACCTACACTTATCGGCAGGGCACATGGTAAGGATGATGAATGTCTCACAAGGCTTTGTTGAGATCACATTTATTCCAACGGCAGATTCCCCTACACGATGAGTTCAGAAAACAGATTACTTTTCATTACTGTAAGGTTCCCCAATTTAACAGTTTCATATTCTCTAACATCTGGAATTGGCTCCTGTTGGATTTGCAGCTGAAAATGGCTCATTGAAAATGGCTAATTGAAAATGGCTAAATTGCAACCCTAGAGACAAAATTAAAAATGTAAGTTGATACCAACAGCTACTTAGTTAGCTCATAGCACAATCCTTAGTGATTTTTCTTGGCAAAACATTGCAAGAGATTGTGGTGAACTTGTAACTGGTTAAGACTCAGCCTTGCATGTAATATTAATAGCAGATTGATAATTTAATTGTTAAATTTATATTGCCACATATTGGATCTGTAGTTTAAAAATAAAAAAGTAAAGTAGTCAGTACAACTAAAACTATACATCTTACATAATATGGTAACATGTTTCTAAAAGCCAAATGAAAATATCTTCACTGTGGATAGATGATGTGAAGAAAAGTTGAATTAAAATGTAAAACTGCTCTTTTTTTTCAAACTGTATCAGTCCCATTTAAAGCAGGGTGTTGTGATTTTAAAATTATACATGTTATTTAGTTTGTGTGATCAGAGCATAAAAAGAATCTAACTTTCATTTGGCCACATTGTGTTTTATGCAACGTATACATCAGGCCTCTTTGACAGTGTTGATTTTTGTTTTTATTAATTGTGAATTCCCCCAAAGGTTTCTTCTCGGGAAACTTTCTGGGGTTAAAAGAGTTAACTAAACATTTCCTTTTCAGCAGCGCTGGGGTCTGGGGTAAGAACAAAAGCACTGGCAGGTGGACAGAACTCTTCTGTTTCAGAGTTTGCCTGAGTCTGATCAGAATCCTCCTCTTTTACTTTGTCATCTGCAGTCTCATGAATGAAGTGAATTCCAGCAGTTCCAGTCTACCATGACAGGTGCTTGATGAGAAGAGATGCAGAATAACCTTTTTTGTATCCCTTTTCTCCTCTTCCTCAATCAGTTTGAACAAGAGATACAACAGCACTCTTAGTTGGTGGGCAAGTTAACCTAGGTAAATTGTTTGTGTTGTGGTTCAAGTCCGCCTCTTCCTCTTCCCCTACCAGTGCACTTTTTGGAAATGGTAAGATAAAATGACCATCAGGTCATTCCTTTTTTTTCCCTGGTCCTAAGATTACTTCAGAAGCCAGCAGCACATCATCAAAAAAATTTTCAGTAATTTTGAAAGCCGGGAGTGATTTTACTGGGGAAAAGGAGAAATTCCCTAAAGATTTTATTAAAAACAATAGGCACATGTGAATCAAAGGTAGAAATTGTCTGATACTAAAGGAAGTTAAATAAAAAAACTGGAAAATGAAAACCATTACATACTAGAATGGATCTAACTAAAACAGAATTGAGTGAGGGGAGGGAAGAGATAATATTTTATCTTGCTAGTTATGTACGTGAATCCACAGATTGTGGCGTGCTTAATTCTTGTTGCCATGTCCCCTGCATACATCAGACACTGTGTCTAATAGCTATAGATAGCACTGTTTTGATATGGCAAAAGTCATTGTTTATTTAACCTCATCTCCTGTTCGATTTATCATTGCATTTATCTTTCCCTATCTGTAATTTTTATCTGACTTCTGAGTAATCTTTTTTGTTTCCAGGAGTGATCCCTTTTTTGGTTTTGTTTTGTTATATACATATCCTTAAGTTTTATTGCAATATTTTAATTAAAATGTTTACGTATATAAATCTTATTTTTTAAAGAGGTTTATCGTTATTTTAATCCAATTTGTTATCTTTTTAAAATATCTTAAATATTTAAAACACTTAAAACATTTTGTTTCTAGCAAGAGAAGGTTAAACAAAAAAATAAAACAAGATTATGAACTGATGATACACTGAGTGAAATTGTTCACTTAATTTTATTAATTTTGTTTTCAAAAAGTAAAAAAATTCTTTTTCCAGTAATTTGCATTACTTTTTCAAAAATTTTACATTTAGATAAATGGTTTGTAGTCACAAGATTACGTTTAACAACAGTGTCATAAATTGCAAAATTCAGTATGGCTGAAGATTACTTTTTAAAACACTTTTACCCTTAAATTGTTTGCTCTCACAAGATTGCTTTTGAAAATGGTTTAAACATTTTTTGTTTATGATTACAAGTAATTTTTCTAAAACAAAATATTATTTAAAGAATTCAAAGGTAGACTGTCTGTGTTTTTTTCCATTATTCTTTTGATAAGTAATATCTGTTTATTACTTTTGCCATGTTGAATTCCATATATCTGTTAAATGTATGTACTGATGCGTCAATGTCTGGAATCATATTTGATTTCTCAGTTGAGTACTTGATAGTGAAGCCAGTTCCGGGCTTGCAGTTCAGCATGGCCACAAGCTATCAGAATCATTGGAAGTGGAAGGAGATGGGAGAGAAGTCACTGGACATAGGCCACAGGGGGATGGGGGCATCATATTCTCAGTAAGAATGTTTTATTGAAAAACATTTATTAGGTTATTAATTTTTTTTTCACACTAGCATGCACCAGAATTCGATAGCTCCCAAATATGTAACCTTGGCACATATGCTATGTTATCACAATCGACGTCACTGCACATTCAGCATTTCTGTGTGTGCTCCGTCCTTAATCGTCAACCTACCTCTAGTAAAATATATATTTTAGTTCGTATATTTTATATTCATTGCACAAGCTTTTATAGAGTGAAGAAATATAACTATAACTGAAAATCAAAGAAGACATAATATAACTGGGAGGTTAGACAGAAGAAGACATGCACTGACGCGTATGTAAGTTAATATCTTCATCAGCAACTTAAAAAAAGGGGAATACTTAGCTAGAGAACTGAAATATCAAAACTATGTAATAATATGTCTGAATGAAGTAATAAAATTAATCATCATTTAGTAGATCCTTTGCAGAACATCGCTCTTCCTGCAGCCTCCGGAAAATGAGGCAGAGGCCAACCTCCGCAAAGGTAGATACAAGACATTGAAGATGCAGTGGCTAGGAAAGCATACAGAGCTGGAGAAGTGACCAGAGGAAGAGAGACTTTCAGGGGCGCTGTAAAGAGAGCAACGTTCTTCAACGCACATGCTGATTGATTTTAAAAAAAAATATGAGTGTTTATTTAAACAAGTAGGGGGGGGGAGGGGGGGGAGATAGACTCCTGTTAGGTGGAGAATAACTAAACCTAAATAAGATAGTCAGGCAGTCAAATATAAGTTGCCTCATAATTTAAACACAAGCAGCTCTTGAAGCAGTTTTTTTTGTTTTTCTTTGAGGTGGTCTTTTGAAGTAGTCTTTTAAATTTGCACAGCCATTGCATGGCATGGTTTAGAGGTATGACAACCATCCATAGCTAAAATGAGCTAGATACTAATCCTCTTGAGGTTATTATTTAAATCTAATGACCATCGACCTGTGGCGAATTTTATGCTTTGTTTTTCGGAAAAAAGAACATGAAATATGAATTACCAGAGTGCATACTGTGTATGTTTCAAATGCCTCGGTAGTTGGAAATTCTAAAAAAATATAGGCTGTATGGGCCACTGCTCTAGCAAAATGTAACATTTAATCATCCACAGCAGAATATTTGTAGTGTGTATCAAAGGGAAATGTTGTTTTATTGTTGTTCTTCATATTTTTCTGATTTTTCTCTTAAAAAGGCGTTTGGTACATTGTATTTTGGTTTACACCTAGGCTACAATATCTACGTCCTTTGGTCCAACACATCTGATTTGAGTAAACCCCTAATTAGTCATCTTTTATGACATGCTTGTTAGTTGAGTTGAGTCAAGAATTGACATCACACACTCGGGTCATTTCCATGTGTGCTCCGTCCTCATCTTCAGCAGCCAACGCAGAGTTCCAGTACTAATGTTACTGGTCAAAGTCTGGTTATCTGTCTGTCTTGCCTTTCCTCTGAGTGTATTGAGCTGGCCAGACCCTCTGGTGCCTCATTCTCTCCAGGCCATAATAATCTTGTTTCTCTACTGATTCCATTGCTTGTTCCCAAAGGGTGACATGCTAATTAAGAGGACATTAAGTCTATTGTTTGTTTCCACCGAAATTGGAATCAACAGTGGGAGAGGATGAAGTGAAAGTAAAGGATACTGGCATGTTTATTATATAGTGATAGCCCCCATATTTTTATTCACCATTTAGCCCTTGATGGATGTCATTATCAGTATAATTTCAGTTTCCTAAATGGGTTCCAAATTAATTGGGAAGGAGGGGGGGGGGGGGCAGAATAGATACAACCTAGTTGTAAACCGCAACACAGAATGCCAGACACCCTCTTGAGGTTGAATACAGAAGAAGAAGAAAATGTAATGCCAGATGCCTTTATTTCCCACATCTCCTGATTCCCACTTTAGACTGGGTCAAACTGAGAGCAAGAGAGATAACATATCTAACAAATAAAATGCAAAGGCCTACTTGTGACAATTTCAGTTTACACAACTCATCCAGCATCCTTTACAGTATGAATGAGGAAGAATATTAAGAAACCAACATCAAGTTTTTCTCTGTGTCTCAGTTCCTTTCTCTTCAATTGCTTTGATTAATAATAGACAGAATGATTTAAATAATGTTTTTCCTTCTGCTTTGGTTATGCAGTTCAGTTAAGAGTAGCAAAGAAGTCATCAAATTTGTGAAAACTCTGACTTTGACATCTTTTCAGAGTCAATGCTCTAAAGGAGAATACAGTTGCATCTTTTCTAGCAGCTGGGAAACATGTAAGCACACTGATTTCAGTTTTTCTTTCTTGTTTGTGACCGTATCATGTATGCAGTTATGTTTGCTCTAACATGTTTCACCCATTGTAATTTTGTTAAACTAGCCTTGGGCTTCCAGTGCCCAAGAGAAAAATGAAGAAAATGAAAACTTTTTTCTGCCGTACACAAAATAATAAATCCATATGTTTAAAAAAAAAGAATTAGAAAACAGTAGGGTTGGGTATAGACAACAAAGAACCCAGAATAATCAACATAAAAAATAACAGAAGAGGAAACTAACCATCTATGACATGAGATGTTTCAGAAAAGCTGCAAACAAAACTAGAAGTGGTTGGGTGAGAAATATGATGATGATCTGTTGTTTAGAACCTCAAAAACCTGATATTATAACTCCTTCCATTCTAAAACTGCATGAAAAAAAATGTCTACAATTAGAAATGATGACTTCAGAGTACACAGATTTTGTGATAGAAAGTGTTGAAGTTACAAGTGCCTTGTACTGATAGAATTAAAGCATTTCAGGAGGGTATGTTTCCTACAAGGATTTTGTATTTGGACCTTGTGGGACTAGTGCACCTGTGATTTTACAACCATTATTATCAGACCCAGGCATCAGCTGTGATCTTCTGGAGCTGAAGTAGTTTAATAACTCAGGACTCTGTTTTGTTTATGTGCCAATAGGACATCGGGCCTACGGTGCCTGACTTATATTCAGGGGTGATGTGGTCAGCGTCATGCCAGTCACCTTTACTTCCCATGTCATTGCTTACTTGGCACACATTTTAGACTATGTCAACATGACTTGGCACCCATTTTAGACTGTCAACATGACTTGGCACCCATTTTAGACTATGTCAACGTGACTTGGCACCCATTTTAGACTATGTCAACATGACTTGGCACCCATTTTAGACTATGTCAACGTGACTTGGCACCCATTTTAGACTATGTCAACGTGACTTGGCACCCATTTTAGACTATGTCAACATGTGACAAGTCCATTTTGAAAAAAAGAAATCTGACATAGTTACAGATTTGAGGTCTAGACCTGCGGGCCAGTTGGTGAGTGTCTAACCACTCATCTCTCTTGGCTCCCAGCTTGACTAGCCTTGCTGTATTTGAACACTCTTGGCTCCCAGCTTGACTAGCCTTGCTGTATTTGAAATTGAACACTCTTGGCTCTCTTGTTGTTGTGGATTGCATCACTCAAACCTTTAATGTGTTTATTTGTCTTTCACAGGGTGCAGATTTGGTAGAATTTGATGTGCTACTCAGCAAAGAAAAACAACCTGTGATATACCATGACTTTTCTGTCAAAGTCAAGTATTCAAAAGTAAGTTTCTATTTTATCTACCATGACTTTTCTGTCAAAGTCAAATATTCAAAAGTAAGTTTCTATTTTATCTACCATGACTTTTCTGTCGAAGTCAAATATTCAAAAGTAAGTTTCTATTTTATCTACCATGACTTTTCTGTGAAAGTCAAATATTCAAAAGTAAGTTTCTATTTTATCTATCTATTATTCTCCTTATTCCTATTTCATTTACTTATGATTCCTGTTTTAGTTATTTGTTATTCTCAGTAAAATTGTGTCAACTTTGTCAGCGGGTTTCAGTTAGTAACATTACTTACCTGCATGTAGGGTACATCAGGGCAGTGCAGGATGCAGCCATTGTGGATGTTCTCAACATAACTTCTTAGCAGGCTGAATGTCCATCTGAATGGCTTCCACAGCTTTTTGTGTGTACATTGTGTGTGTGTGTGGGGGGGGGGGGGAGGAGGAAAGGAGAGGGGGGGATAGATCCATTATGTTCTATCAAGCATGTCATAAAAGGTGATGTGTTAGGCTGAGCGGTGCATATATCCCAGCCTAGCTGTTAACCACAAGATAATATGCCAGCCATCCTTTTAAGAGCTTGAGAGGAAAAAGACAAAGAAGCAGTTTGCTTTGTTAGATTTGCATCCAGAAAACAATTCTTTAAGTCAAACCTTCAGGCAGCAGTTCATAGTTCAGTTGGGCATTAGGGCCAAAAACAAAGGTTAATGGAAAGCTGTGGGTTGATGGTTTCTGAATGAATTGACAAACAGCTAGCAGCACATAGGGCCTTCCACTACAACTATTGTCTCCACACAACCTTTTTTTTCTGATCGTGTTCCTCTTGAATAAATGTCAATACCCCTCACACTTCCCTTGAGTATATTGTAATACCCCTCACACTTCCCTTGAGTATATTGTAATACCCCTCACACTTCCCTTGAGTATATTGCAAGACCCCTCACACTTCCCTTGAGTATATTGCAAGACCCCTCACACTTCTCTTGAGTATATTGTAAGACCCCTCACACTTCTCTTGAGTATATTGTAATACCCCTCACACTTCCCTTGAGTATATTGCAAGACCCCTCACACTTCCCTTGAGTATATTGCAAGACCCCTCACACTTCCCTTGAGTATATTGCAAGACCCCTCACACTTCCCTTGAGTATATTGCAAGACCCCTCACACTTCCCTTGAGTATATTGCAAGACCCCTCACACTTCCCTTGAGTATATTGTAAGACCCCTCACACTTCCCTTGAGTATATTGCAAGACCCCTCACACTTCCCTTGAGTATATTGAAATACCCCTCACACTTCCCTTGAGTATATTGCAAGACCCCTCACACTTCCCTTGAGTATATTGAAATACCCCTCACACTTCCCTTGAGTATATTGCAAGACCCCTCACACTTCCCTTGAGTATATTGAAATACCCCTCACACTTCCCTTGAGTATATTGCAAGACCCCTCACACTTCCCTTGAGTATATTGAAATACCCCTCACACTTCCCTTGAGTATATTGCAAGACCCCTCACACTTCCCTTGAGTATATTGCAAGACCCCTCACACTTCCCTTGAGTATATTGAAATACCCCTCACACTTCCCTTGAGTATATTGCAAGACCCCTCACACTTCTCTTGAGTATATTGCAAGACCCAGACACCATTTCAATATATGGCAAGACCCCCACATCTCTTTCCCCCCCCCTCCCTCCCCTCTTTCCCGCCCCTTCCAACATAACAAAATGTAATTGATTTCCCTCAACAAGAGAAACAGTATGGAGATACAGTTTGTTCGGAATGTATTGTTAATCTTTAAATGCCATTGTTATTAAATTAATTTGAATTGTAGTTGTTTGTGTGCAAACTGCTTATGAAAACAAAACAAACAATGTCCTTGGCTTTTTATTTTATAAATATTTTTAGAAAATATTTTATTTTATTTATAATTAAACTGAAAAAAATAATAAAACAGATTATCACAAATCAAAAATTTCAAAACGGCCTTCCCCCCCCCCCCCTTCTTTGAAATCTCCTTGTGCCCTCTAGGAGGCTCACACACACACACCCCTCCCCTAGGTTGGAGACCACTGCATTACAAGGACTGAAACAATACGCATGCTGGTGTTGGATACACTGCATAACCAGACTTGATACTATTCTTATGAAGGATGATAGTGAAGGTTCTAGTAAGCATGGAGTCCTATTACTGAAATCAGATATGTTGGGCCAAAAGGTATAGATATTGCAGTCTAGCTGTAAACCACAACACCACATGCCAACCACCCTTTTAAGACTAATGTAGAATAAATAATTTTTATTTTCAAAGGGTCACAGATGAAGAAGAGGTATAGAGTCACAGATGCATCTAGGGTCACGGAAGACCATTCAGCACTAGATGGCTGGTATAGTCAGCATCAGCCACCTTTACTACCCAAAATTATTTCCTAGTACTCACTTTAGGCTGTATTTACCTGGAAGGCAAAAACATTAAAAAAAAATTTTTTTAACTCAATTCTGATGCAGATTTGAACCCAGGACCATTAGACTGGCAGTCAAGCATCTAGACACTGTGCCGCCGTCCCATATTTAATTCTTTTAAATCCCAAGCAGTTGTTATTTTAACTCCTTCTAGCCCAAAGTGTTCAGCTAGTACATAATTTGGCCCTAAGGAGTTTAGCTTATACAATGTGAGATGTAAGAAGTTAAACTAGTAATTTAGACAATAATATAACACTATTCTGTGACAAAAGGCAGCTGGTAAATTATATTATCTTTGGAATGAAGAGTTGTTTTTGACTGAAAGTGTAAGCATATAACTATGTTTAATAGCAACAGATGCTTAATCTGAAAGCTCAGTGATAAATTAACAATTTTCTATCAGAAAAAGAAACACAAAGTCCATGCAGAACTGTTTGAAATCCCAGTGAAGAGTCTGACCTTGTCTCAGCTCCAGTCCATGAGACTGTTCTCTTCAGATCATCATGGAGTGGGTATGTGTTAACTGTTTCAGTTTTTACAGATAGCTAACCTTGAGTTTTTATCTTCTACCAAACAGATCTTGATATTTTGAGTTTGCAGTCATTACTAAACAGATCAGTGAAGTTAACTTTGAGTTTGTAATCATTACCAGTAGATTTACTAATGTAGAGCTTTGGGAGAGAACTAAACAAGTTCCAATGGACTAAGAGGTGTAGAAAAGATTCTGGTGGTGGATATGACACAACATTTAGAAAACCTGAGAACAGTATAACTATAATGTCTTTGCATTGGAACACACAGGGGCATAGAAATACAGGCAGACCAAAAAACACATGGAGAAGGGAGCTGAGAGTGAAGTTAAACAGATGGGGAGAACTGCATGCGATAGCAAAGGATAGAATAACTGGGCGTGAGTTGGTTGAGGGCCTATGCTCCATTGGGGGTTAGAAAGGCAGAAGAAGAAGACCAGTAGGTTTGTGTAGTTATGCTTCAGTTTTTGGTTTTACTAAATAGATTTATATAGCTAAACTAAGAGTTTATAGTAAGTAAAAAAAAAAAGTAAAGTTCCCTTTTCATGCCTTTCGGCGCATCGGGTATATGGGCAGAGCGTCCCATATTTTTACAGACCATCAGCACTCGGTGGGTAATGTGGTCAGCATTACGCCGGCTGTCTTTACTTTCCCAGGACAGCCCATCCTGGTACCCAATTTAGGCTGGGTCGACCTGCGACGTCCCATACCACGACAAAAATCCACGCAGCCTTCAGTGGGTTTTGATCAAGAGTTTATAGTAGCTATTACCAAATATGTTTTGTGCACTTAAGTTTATTGTTTATATTATACATATTTTCATTATTACCAAACAGATATATGTAACTATACTTGAAATTTCTGTGTATTACTAAACAGATTTATTTAGTTATATATAGTTTGTATCAATCTTTTGCACTTAAATTTTGATTTTATATGTATAACCAAATTTTAATTATTATATTATTACCCACCACATATGTGTGGTTATACTTGAAATCCTTCTGCATTGCTAAAAAGATTTATGTAATTAAGCCACCAGTTTGGATCCAGTACTTAAAACAAAAGTGTGCACTTAAATGTACAGTTTCTGGGCTCTTTTTTTTTGGGGGGGGGGGGGGGATTAGACCCACTGCTCTCTTAACAAGCATGTCATAAACAGCGATTAAATAGTGGTTTGCTGAAATTGGATGTGTTGAGCCAAAAGACAGTTATTGCAGCCTAGCTGCAAACCACAACATGCCAACCACCTATTTTAATTGTAAATGCAGAAGAAGAAGAAAAAGAAAAAGCAGCAGAAGAAGAAAAAGAAGAAAACTACCAAAAAGAGTATTTAAGTTGAGAATTCGGATTTTTAAAATATTGTTTATGTAGTTTGGATTGAAATTTGTTTCTTGAGCCCTCACGGGGAGCAACTTATTTAAAAAAAGTTTATTAAAAGTGTGAGAATGGACTTCATTGCGTTGGATGTTATCCAGTCTAACCTACAGACAGCTGATAAGGAATTGTGAAGTTGTATTCTGAAATATAGCCCATGACTTTTGAGAGAATGAGGCGGACAGCATTCACAAAGCTCTTTTACTGATTTGCATTACCCTAGTCAGCCTGCTTGTTTGTTTGTTAAGATCTCTTATGGAATTTTGAGCTTTGTTGTTTGTCTGTTGAGGTTCATTGTAAAATGTGGAGCCTTATTTTTTTTTTTTTTTTTGGTCTATTGATTCAGTGTAGATTTGCGGGTCTTTTTTCTTAAAATTAAAATCCCTTGTAGAATTTTAGGTCTTATTGGTCTGTTGAGATTCATTGTATATATTTGTGCCATATTGTAGTTTTTCATTTGATCTAAAGCATATAATTCTGTTTTCACACTTTATCTATGTAGAAATCAATAATGAAGAAACCGAAGAAGAAAGCACAGAGCCGTTTCCAACCCTAGAACAGGTGCTAAAAGTTGTGGATGAAAAAACTGGATTCGATATAGAAATTAAATTTCCACAGCAGTTTGTGGTGAGTTTGTGATTATTTCTTTGATTCTCACATTGCTTGTTCATCATCATATCATATCATCATCATCATCATCATCATCATCATCATCATCATAAATCACTTCTGCCTTTAAGCATCCTGGGGAGGAATGATTTGCGATCCAGCGCACGTTGGCTGCCACTGACTGTTGTCAATGCGTGAAGGCATAGAGTGTCTTTAATGTTGTCGATCCATATTTTCCGTGCCCCTCCTCTTGCTCTTGTAGCTGATCTTCTGAGATGTAGTGCTTGCGATGGTATTTGATCTTGCTGCATTCTAACGAGATGGCCAAACCACTTGATCTGCGGTTTCTTGATGAATCTAGTACAAGGTGTCGTTCCCACAATTTGCCTGATAGTTTCATTATTCACTTGATCTCGGATGGTTAGGTTGGCTGCTTTTCTCAGGCATCTCATCTCCCAGGTGGTGATTTTGCGTAAATGGGCTTTAGTGTCCATATTTGGCACTGGTGGCTTAATGTTGGAATGAAAATGCTATTAATAATCTGTCTTTCTGCACTCATAGTTATGCTTGGATGTCTTAATAATGGTGACAATTGCTATATAAGTGCACTTGCTTTCTGACATCTGGTTTCTATTTCTCTGTCAATTTTACCATCTTCTGTTATTGTAGATATTTAAACTCCCTAACTTGATTGAGGGCAGAACCATTCAGCTGTATGTGTAGTGGGGCAGGTGATCTACTAACTTGCATTGTTTCGGTTTTGTTTACATTGATCTTCATATTTACTGCATGCTGAGTTTAACCTGTTAAAGTGGTCATACAGTCTATATTCTTCAGGGTAGAACAAGCACTGGTCATCAGCAAATAGTAGTTCGTTTAATGTGGGTGAATCGATAAATTCTCCTGATGTGTTTACTTCCTCATAATTATAAAGGTCCATGTTGTCTGTTGCTTGTTAAGTTAGTTATTATCTTTCGTATTTCATCCTCTAATGTTTTAGATAAATGTTTTAACCTTTTATAGACACAGAGCATCTTTATATTCACTTCTGGATTAAAACTGGAATACATATTTTTTTAATGATTATATATTTTAAAAAGGGAGCCGCCATGGTGTAGTGGCCAGATGCTCAACTTGAGTCAGAAGTTTGTAGGTTCAATTCTGCATCAAGCCAGATTTTTTAAAGAACCCAAAAAAATGACTTTGGCTCCCAAGTCGACACATTCTAAATGGGTACCAGGTAATGTCCTGGGAAGGAAAGGCTTCCCGGCTTGATGTTGACCCCACATCACCCACAGTGGCGATTGATGTATAAAATATAGATCTAGCCCTTTCTGCTCAATAGACCTAATGGCCTAATGACCTACTTATATGTTTTAAAAGGAAAAATTAGATGAGTATAAGCTGAGGGTGGGTCCAGAAATTTAGTAGCGAGACAAATTTCAACATGCTGACAATGTCTTTCTTCCAGTAAGCTTGCATAAATGGGAGTTTGGTCATCAGCATCATCAAGTGCATTGCAAGCTAGCATGGGTGCTGATGCCTCTCCACAACCTGCTGTCTCCCGCAGCATGTATCACTTCACATGCTGATCTCTTCCATTCTGTGAGACTAAAGACTGTCAGCAATCTTCTTTCTTTCTTTGTCTTCCGCTACCTCTCTACACACATCTTTCGATTGGTTACAGTGCATTTCCTTTTCCTTTTTCTTCTATCATAGTCAAAATATGAAGTTGAGATTAACAAAATGCTGTATGAAAGAAGAGAACTACTTGGACATCAATGAAAACTGAGATAATATACTCAAAGTTGTTTGTTTCGTGCTGGATCATGAAATATTGTCTTCTACAACATCAGTGAATATAACTTATATGCTATGATATTATTTCTTAAATTGTCAGATCAATCAGAAAGCCACCAAAACTGACACAAGATAAGATGATTACTATATTATGGATGGACCAGAGCAAGTCATTATTAGACGCCTCAGAACAGGACACATTCGACTTCGCAGAAACATGTATGCAAAATTTAAGATTGGTGAATCAACCATGTGCACATGTGAACTGGCACCTGAGACAACAGATCACGTCCTCTAAGACTGTCCCAAATACAACATATCAAGGCAAAACTTCTGACCAAGAGAAACACGGGTGCAAGTCAAACTTTACGGGTCTCTGAGTGAGTTACAAAACACAGTCAAACTCATACTGGAGACAAAACTGCAGATATAATCTATTTAAAGTGTACGAAAGAAGAAGAAGACTTCTGAAATCAGTAATTAGTCATTGCTGCTACATAATCAAGAACTCAAACTGGAGACAAAACTGCAGATATAATCTATTTAAAGAAGACTTCTGAAATCAGTAATTAGTCATTGCTGCTACATAATCAAGAGCTCATACTGGAGACAAAACTGCAGATATAATCTATTTAAAGTGTATGAAAGAAGAAGAAGACTTCTGAAATCAGTAATTAGTCATTGCTGCTACATAATCAAGAGCTCATACTGGAGACAAAACTGCAGATATAATCTATTTAAAGTGTATGAAAGAAGAAGAAGACTTCTGAAATCAGTAATTAGTCATTGCTGCTACATAATCAAGAGCTCATACTGGAGACAAAACTGCAGATATAATCTATTTAAAGTGTATGAAAGAAGAAGAAGACTTCTGAAATCAGTAATTAGTCATTGCTGCTACATAATCAAGAGCTCATACTGGAGACAAAACTGCAGATATAATCTATTTAAAGTGTATGAAAGAAGAAGAAGACTTCTGAAATCAGTAATTAGTCATTGCTGCTACATAATCAAGAGCTCATACTGGAGACAAAACTGCAGATATAATCTATTTAAAGTGTATGAAAGAAGAAGAAGACTTCTGAAATCAGTAATTAGTCATTGCTGCTACATAATCAAGAGCTCATACTGGAGACAAAACTGCAGATATAATCTATTTAAAGTGTATGAAAGAAGAAGAAGACTTCTGAAATCAGTAATTAGTCATTGCTGCTACATAATCAAGAGCTCATACTGGAGACAAAACTGCAGATATAATCTATTTAAAGTGTATGAAAGAAGAAGAAGACTTCTGAAATCAGTAATTAGTCATTGCTGCCACATAATCAAGAGCTCATATGTTAACAGAATGATGTTTGGGAGATGGAGAACTACTTTGACATCAATGAGAACCTGGACCACATACTCAAGGTGGTTTTTGCTCATGCTGGATCCAGAAAAATCGTCTTCTCCAGCTTTGACCCTGACTCTTGTATTCTGTAAGTTTGGTTTGGAGTTTATCCCATCTTAGATTCCGTTGTAACTCATTCATTTTATGACAGAAAAACCTAAATGATGAGTCATTTTTACATCACCACCGTGTTTTAGTAATAAGTAGTAGTAAACAATCCGTTTTACCCCAGTGGTTCATTGTAAAATTGTGACAACAGAGATGAAATGCCTTAGAAGAGCTGCATGAGTTTCAAGGAAAGACAGAATAAAAAATCACAAAATCAGACGAATGATAGAAATAAAGCCAGTCTTACAGGTCATCAAAGAACAACAAATGAAGTGGTTTGGATACCTAACAAGAATGCCCTGGTACTATCTGCCACAGCTAGCCACACTAAAATGTTACAATGGGTATAGAACGAGTGGAAGACCTCGGAAAATATGGAGTGATGGCATTAAGAACAGCCTTACAGAAATGAACCATCATTCTTAATAGTGCTCTTCACAGCTCATCAACGAATGTTACATCTCCCCCCGACACTTTGATGAGGTACAAGGTGGAAGAGAAGAAGAAGAAGAAAAAGAAGCAGGTGCATTGGGCATATGATAGCGGACTCATTTCTGTATAGACCAGCTGGCACTTGGCAGGTGATCTGGTCACCACCACACCAGCAGTCTTTACTTCCCAGGACATTACCTAGTGCCCATTTGAGCCAGGCTTGACCTGGGAGCCAAGGTCAGTTCTAAAAACAATTTGCAGCGATGCAGATTCAAACCCCTGACCTTGCCTGTGCTGTCTTAGCAGTATAGCATGGCTGTATTACATCTTCAGCAGTGTCTGTCATGGAAGCTACTCTGGTTCAGTGGCTCGATGTGGCACTGTGGCTAGTCGCTGGTTCAGGTCCGAATTGGACCAGATTTTTATAATTGATCTAGGGTTACCAAGTCAGCGCTGCCTAAAATGGACACAAGGAAATGTTATGGAAAGTCAAGCTGGCTGGCATGATGTTGACTATATCGCCCATTGAGTGCTGATTGAACAAATTAGGTCTAGCATCATATGCTCGATGCACGGCATGAAAGAGTCTGCCCTGAACCTCAGCTGTACATTCTGTTAGACTGTATTCTCACCATATGTTGTTATAGACTATATTCTCACCATATGTTGTTATAGACTGTATTCTCACCCTATGTTGTTATAGACTGGATATTCTCTCCATATGTTGTTATAGACTGTATATTCTCACCATATGTTGTTATAGACTGTATATTTTCGCCCTATGTTGTTATAGGCTGTATATTCTCGCCCTATGTTGTTATAGACTGTATACTCACCATATGTTGTTATAGACTGTATATTTTCGCCCTATGTTGTTATAGGCTGTATATTCTCGCCCTATGTTGTTATAGACTGTATACTCACCATATGTTGTTATAGACTGTATATTCTCGCCCTGTGTTGTTATAGGCTGTATATTCTCGCCCTATGTTGTTATAGGCTGTATATTCTCACCATATCTTGTTATAGGCTGTATATTCTGGCCCTATGTTGTTATAGACTGTATATTCTCACAATATGTTGTTATAGACTGTATATTCTGGCCCTATGTTGTTATAGACTGTATATTCTCAACATATGTTATTATAGACTGTATATTCTGGCCCTATGTTGATATAGACTGTATATTCTTACCCTATGTTGTTATAGACTGTATATTCTGGCCCTATGTTGTTATAGACTGGATATTCTCTCCATATGTTATTATAGACTGTATATTCTCGCCCTGTGTTGTTATAGACTGTATATTCTCACCCTATATTGTTATAGACTGTATTTTCACCATATGTTGTTGTTTTCTGGTATTTACAAAATAGAATAATAATAATTCTTCTTCAAGTTCATTGGCTGTAAACTCCAGTAGAAAAATCTGGTAGTTCATACACTTCTGGACGTTACTCTTGTTCCAGAACCCCAATGTTACATGCACATTGGTTTGACAGATTTGGTTCCTTGCCTCTCAGGCAAAAGCACTCTGTCGTCAAATGAAGCTTCCCAATTAGTCGACTCTTACGGCATGCCTTTTGGGGAGGCAGGGGTCTTTCCTTGTTTTCACCCCAATGGGACCCCAGAACCCACACAGGGAAATTATAATTTAAAAAAAAAAAGGACATATTTGAAATTCATTTACAAGAAGGAAGTAGCCAGAATTAGCATTCTTGGACTGAGTCGTGAGATTGGCAACACTAGTAAACATAAAGACAGAAACGGACAGAAAGAAAAGTATGTGACTGTTTTGCCTTTTCATGGAAATTCATCAGTACAGGAAGTGGTAAACAGCATTGGACAGTGAGGTTTGTGAAAAAAAATAGTTACCCATGCTAAAATATTTGATAGATGATGATGATGAAGTTTGTCTCCTGTGAAAATTCTTTCAGTGTGTTGTTTATTATCAGGTTATCTATATTCTCAAAACTTTAAATACAGTCACAGATTACCTTTCAGTATCTTGATTGTCGAATTAATATAAATTAATATTCTTAAAAAAAAATTATGTACAGTAAGAGCATACCTTCCAGTATATTTTTTGTCAAGTTGTGTAACTTCTCACAAATTCAGATGAATTAACACATTATTTTTTCAATATATTGTTTATTTTCAAGCTGTTTTTTTTTAAAACTCTGATTATCTCCGCGGGCTGTGATTTGAAAGATTCCCTCTAGCTCAATAGAATACTGTTATCTGGAATGATAGAAAGGTGCCAGGAATTATATTCTCAAAATATTTACAAATGAATAAAATTTAAAAAAACAGAATATTTCGGGAGTCATCATAGCGTAGCGGCTAGACGCTCACGTGCGGATCAGAAGGTCATGGGTTGGCTCCCCGATGGAGCCGGACTTTTTTTAAAAATGACCCTGACTCCCAGGTTGACCCAGCCTTGAGTGGGTACTGGGTGCAGTCCTGGGAGGTAAAGGCGGCCAGCATGATGCTGACCACATCACCTATCTTGTGCGGATGGGTCTATAAAAATAAAGGTCTAGCCCTATACGCCCTATATGTGCCTGAAGGCGCGGATAAGGGACCTTTACTTTTTATGATTTTTTTTTTTTAAACAAATTATTTCTTGCCAGTAAAATGAAACTTAAAATATAATTTCACATGTCTGTCTTCTTCATACTGGCAGGCTGCAGTTAAAGCAAAACAAGTACCCAGTATTGTTCCTCCACCAGGGGCGCACAGAGCACTACCTGGCCTACAAGGACTACAGATCTTACGAATTTAAAAGTGGCATCAGCTTTGCTTTGTCAGAACATCTACTGGTAAGAGTGACATGTACCACATCCAGCCGTCTATATTTTCTTTATCTCTGTACTACAACAGGCATTCGGACAGTAGTGTCCATTATGTTTTCTTTATCTCTGTACTACAACAGGCATTCGGACAGCAGTGCCCATTATGTTTTCTTTATCTCTGTACTACAACAGGCATTCGGACAGTAGTGCCCATTATGTTTTCTTTATCTCTGTACTACAACAGGCATTCGGACAGTAGTGCCCATTATGTTTTCTTTATCTCTGTACTACAACAGGCATTCGGACAGTAGTGCCCATTATGTTTTCTTTATCTCTGTACTACAACAGGGTATTCGGACAGCAGTGCCCATTATGTTTTCTTCGGTGAATAATAACAATTGAAACATGCATTTTTTTAACCCTCCTAATTTAGAACGTCTTTGTTGTATATATACATATATATATATATATATATATATATATATATATATATATATATATATATATATATATATATATATATATATATATATATATACAAAATGAAGTTGCATTCTAACAAGAAAAAGAACAGCTACACTAATCCATTGAAATGGTATGCAAGGACAATTTCTTCTTCTTCGTGTTCACTGGCTGTAAAGTTCTGGGTGTTCGTCCACCTCTAGACTTCAGTCTTATTCCAGAACCTGAGTGCTGCGTGCACATCTGTTTCAGACATCTGGCTTATTTGTATGCAGACTCTTGGTTCCTTGCTTGTCAGGCTGGATGGGAACAGTTAGTATCTACACCTAACGTCATTTTCTGTGGGAGGCGGAACATCTATGAGTATGCCCGGTCTACTATGATGTCGATTTTTAAATCAGTAAATCAGGCTGATTTACTCTCACTTCGAAGGATGCTCCTAGTTTGTCGACTCCTACCGCATGCTTGTTGGGGAGACAATGTTTCTATTCTTGTTTTCCCCACAACAGGACCCTGGAACTCACGTAGGGAGAGGACAGATCAGAGCAGATTGTTTACAGAATTTCTGGTTGTGAAGAAAAAAACACTGGTGAAAATTCATAAATATTTGTGCGCTGTGTATGGAAGTTGTGCAGTTAATAGGAGCACCATTGGTTGCTGGATTAAGAGAGTTAAGGCTTCATAAGGTGGAGAGATGGGCCTGGGGATGTTATTGATGTTGTGAAGAAATTTGGCTACATGAGCATAGCAAAACCTGATACAGGCCAGGCATGAATGCCGTTGTTTTACGTTGGCATAAGGTCATAGAAATGAATGGGTAATGTATCGAATATGATACAGTGCACTGCGCTGAGATTCTTCAGACTCAGTCTTGAGTTTGAAGTAGAACGGAGCACTATTATTTTTTCCCCTATAACAGGGCCTTGGAACCCACACAGGGACATACGGATTTGAACCCATGTCGACAAACCCAGATTTGTTTAACTGTCTCCGGATCTGGGAATATAATCAAGAAGTACATTGTTGTTTGGTCTTGTTCTGCAGGGTAACCCAGATTTGTTTAACTGTCTCCGGATCTGGGAATATAATCAAGAAGTACATTGTTGTTTGGTCTTGTTCTGCAGGGTAACCCAGCTTTGTTTAACTGTCTCCGGATCTGGGAATATAATCAAGAAGTACATTGTTGTTTGGTCTTGTTCTGCAGGGTAACCCAGCTTTGTTTAACTGTCTCCAGATCTGGGAATATAATCAAGAAGTACATTGTTGTTTGGTCTTGTTCTGCAGGGTAACCCAGATTTGTTTAACTGTCTCCAGATCTGGGAATATAATCAAGAAGTACATTGTTGTTTGGTCTTGTTCTGCAGGGTAACCCAGCTTTGTTTAACTGTCTCCAGATCTGGGAATATAATCAAGAAGTACATTGTTGTTTGGTCTTGTTCTGCAGGGTAACCCAGCTTTGTTTAACTGTCTCCAGATCTGGGAATATAATCAAGAAGTACATTGTTGTTTGGTCTTGTTCTGCAGGGTAACCCAGCTTTGTTTAACTGTCTCCAGATCTGGGAATATAATCAAGAAGTACATTGTTGTTTGGTCTTGTTCTGCAGGGTAACCCAGCTTTGTTTAACTGTCTCCAGATCTGGGAATATAATCAAGAAGTACATTGTTGTTTGGTCTTGTTCTGCAGGGTAACCCAGCTTTGTTTAACTGTCTCCAGATCTGGGAATATAATCAAGAAGTACATTGTTGTTTGGTCTTGTTCTGCAGGGTAACCCAGCTTTGTTTAACTGTCTCCAGATCTGGGAATATAATCAAGAAGTACATTGTTGTTTGGTCTTGTTCTGCAGGGTAACCCAGCTTTGTTTAACTGTCTCCAGATCTGGGAATATAATCAAGAAGTACATTGTTGTTTGGTCTTGTTCTGCAGGGTAACCCAGCTTTGTTTAACTGTCTCCAGATCTGGGAATATAATCAAGAAGTACATTGTTGTTTGGTCTTGTTCTGCAGGGTAACCCAGCTTTGTTTAACTGTCTCCAGATCTGGGAATATAATCAAGAAGTACATTGTTGTTTGGTCTTGTTCTGCAGGGTAACCCAGCTTTGTTTAACTGTCTCCAGATCTGGGAATATAATCAAGAAGTACATTGTTGTTTTGTCTGTTTCTGCAGGGTGTGGCTCTACACTCTTCAGTTCTGCTGAAAGATATTGATCTGATTGACAGGGTACTTAAAATGAAGCTGGTGTTGTTTGTCTGGGGGAATGATAACAACGACCCAAAGGTCATACGCAAGTTACGAGATCTCAAAGTTCATGGTATTATTTATGACAGGTATGTTTGGTTGTTTACAGTAAATGTTACGCTTTCTGTGAGCTCTGGGGGGGGGGGGGGGGGGGGGGGGGTGTATATGCACTGATCCTCAACAAGTATGTCTTAACAGGTGACTAATTAAGGGTTTGGTGAAATCACATATGTTAGGCTAAAAGGCATAGATATCACAGCCTAGCACAACACAGTGTGCCAGCCACTCTGTTTAGGCTGAAAGGTATAGATATCACAGCCTAGCACAACACAGTGTGCCAGCCACTCTGTTTAGGCTGAAAGGTATAGATATCACAGCCTAGCACAACACAGTGTGCCAGCCACTCTGTTTAGGCTGAAAGGTATAGATATCACAGCCTAGCACAACACAGTGTGCCAGCCACCCTGTTTAGGCTAAAAGGTATAGATATCACAGCCTAGCACAACACAGTGTGCCAGCCACTCTGTTTAGGCTAAAAGGCATAGATATCACAGCCTAGCACAACACAGTGTGCCAGCCACCCAGTTTAGGCTAAAAGGTATAGATATCACAGCCTAGCACAACACAGTGTGCCAGCCACTCTGTTTAGGCTAAAAGGCATAGATATCACAGCCTAGCACAACACAGTGTGCCAGCCACCCTGTTTAGGGTGAAAGAAGAAGCAGCACAACTCACAAGTTGATTATCTAATAGTGTTTGTTCTAGAAGTTAATTCAGTCTAGATTCTGTGTATGGTTCAAATTCAACTAATCAGTCAAATGACTCCACAATGAAGGTTGATTGCAAGGATCTCTAGCACACTGTGTCTCTTGTCTTGTTTGTAAATTCTCTCAGATGGCTGTTCTTCCATCTCTTGATATTGTCCTCCCACTTGTATCATTGTCAACTTCTTATTGTCTTGCCCTTGAAGTTTCCTTTCAGTATGTTTTCAAAAGACTGCTATCCCTTTTAATGTGGTGAAATATTTCAGTTGTCTTTTGTCTTTCTTCGTTTTTTTTTTTTCTTTTTCTTTTCTGTTTTTAAATTTTGTTCAGCAACCATCTTTTCATTTCCAGTCTCTTCAGAACCTCTGTATTTGATTATTTTTGTTTCCATGAAGTACAACCTACTGTTCTGAATATCCACTCCAGTGAATCAATACCAGTTTTTTAAATTGCTTTTTCATTGTCCAGGATTCTGTACCGTACAGTAATATTAAAAAAAAAAACACTTGAATTTTTCTAATTTTCAGTGTGTTTATCTCTCTAACTGTTAACATTTTTCACATCTTATTGATGATAATTTTATCCATTCTTATTATCATTTAAATTCACCATCATTGTGGTTCAGATTGATCTGGTTGGTATACAAGTGGCTCAGTTATTTGCTGAAGGAAGAGATAAGTGTAAAATCAAATACAAGCTTTTTAACTTTGCTGCCACATTTTAGCAGTTAAAGTCTACATTTTTCATCTATGTTATGGATAAATATTGGAGTGTTGGGTTCTTTCGAAATATCCTAGCCCAGATGACGTCACAGGACAGTCCAACATTTTAGAGGATGGTAAGACTGGGTTTCCCAGGTTTCTGATGTTTTTAACGACCCCAAAACATCTAGAACTGGCCCTAACCACAACCCACCTATGTCCCACGAGAGAGTGCAGCCTATGTCCCATGACTGCATGCAGCCTAGGTCCCACGACTGCATGCAGCCTATCTACATCCCCCTGAAATATTAGACTGTCCCGTGACTTGTGGATTTCCCCTGTTTGAGGTAGGATATTAAAAAACCACTGAGGTTTGTGAATTTCATTCTTCTTCTTTCTTCTTTTTGTTCTCCTTGCCAGTGGTTTTTCACATGAGAAGGCCACTGGCCTCTGTGATGGGACACAGATCCTCCACTGATCCATACATTTGGTCCCCACCAGAATGCTAACTGGCCAGACCAGGTATCTCACTGCATGCAGAGTACATGTCTACAGAACATCTTCACTATTCTGGGGTGCTTGATGAATAAACCTTTTCTAGACCTTTAGGCATTTTGGGAATACAGGGCTAGATCTACATTTTATAGACCAATCGGGTGCACTACGCCAGCCACCTTTACTTCCCATGACTTTACCTGGCTGTGTTGACCTGGTAGCCAAGCCCGTTTTGATAAAAAAAGTCCAATTTAGCCAGTGGGGTGTCTGATGCAGTTAATTTATTCAGTCTAAACTGCTATTAATTTAAATAGCAGGCAAAAGGATCTCATGGTTAATCTTAGACTTTTGTGGTGAGATGTACAGTGTAACAAGAGACAATGTGGTTTGTGTGTTTGCTTTGAAAGGATTCCTTTTTTTTTTGTTGCTTCATTAAATGTTGATAGAAACTCTGTAATAGCACCTGGCGAGATGGAGTAAAATATACCTGGCAGTAGAATTGTTTAGTATGTTGTTTGTGGCTTCTTGTCTTCTTCATTTTTTGTGTGCGTTGACCAGCTGTAAATTCTGGTGGAAAGACCTGATTGTTCGTCCACTTCTTGACTTTTAGTCTTTTTCCAGAACTTGAGTTTTGCATGCACATCCATTTTACAGGTCTGGCTTATTTGTATGCAGACTATTGGTTCCTTACCTCTCAGGCAGGTGCACTTTGACTTCAAAGGGAATACCCCTAAAGTGGGTCTATTCCTTTTCTTCCTACAGTGGGACCCCAGATTCCACACATTTAAATTCGCCACAGGAAAACATTGATTTGAATTTAAATAGTAACTGGTTTATAGAGGGAATGAAACGGTATAGAATCACTAATATAGAGCTTTGGGAGAGAATTAAACAAATTCAAGTGGACCAAGAGGTCAAGAAAAAATGTTGACATTGGATAGGACACACGTTGAGGAAACCCGATAACAATATAATCAGAATGTTTTTGCACTGGAACCCACAGGGGCATAAAAATAAAGAAAGACTAAGAAACACAAAGAGAAGGGAGCTAATGAGTGAAGTTAAAACACTATAAGGAGGCCAAGCGATAGCGAAGAATAGAACGACTTGGCGGGAGTTGGTTGAGGGCCCCACAAACATAGACGTAGTACCCAAATAATCCTAGAGCCATATATCGGAAATCAAGCCAGGAGGAACAACCCCCTCCCCACTCCCCCCTTTTTTTTTAACTCTTAGTTGTTTATTTCAGTTTGCAGTTTAGGAATTAATGAAGTCTTTTTCTGTTGGACGAAAGGCAGAGGAGCAATCTGCTATGCGTTTAACCTTAATGAAGGTAGTTCTTCTTCTTTGCGTTCACCAGCTGTACATTGTGGCGGAAAGTTCTGGTTGCTCGTCCATTACTGAACTGCAGTCCTGCTCCAGAACCTGAGTGTTGCGTGTGCATCAGTTTTACAGATCTCATTCTCTTGAATACAGACTGTTGGTTCCTTGCCTCTCCGGCAGATGCACTCCGACTTCAAAGGAAGCCCCCCAATTAGTCGACTCTTACGGCATGCTTTTGGGGAGGCAGTGGGTCTATTCTTGTTTTCCCCACAATGGGGTACCGGAACCCACACGGGGGAATGAAGGTAGTAAAATTCGCTTATGGTTTTTTACCGTGGTTATTTGTCCTGTTGTTCGTCCATCACAAGTGATAAAGACCACTCAATGAGAACCACTCTTTCTTTCATCTGTCATCAAACTATCATTGAGTTCTTTGAGTCCGGAGGTGACCTCCAAGCCGCAGTACAAGCCCGGAAGGATCTAAGGGCAGAGAACAGTGTCTGTAGGTGAAGGTTATGTATCCTAATTGGGCTCCAAGACCAAATCTTCTGGAAATGAAGAATTTAATGAGTTAATGTAAGGAACAATCAATGTAACAAGAGTTAATTGTTCACTCTACACAGAATTGACTGCCACAAGCCAGAACATCATCCTGAGTTCCAGCTGACATCAGCAAAGGATGAAGCCACATTTATGAGGGTCGTCGAGACAGAGAATGCAGCCTCGGTTCATTATCTGGATGCCAGGGACATGAGTTGTAGCCCTGATGGCTCAGTGGGAGAATGCGCAGTGACTGGAGAGTCAGGGGGCAGCAGCAGCTGCGGCAACTCTACCATCAGTTCTAGCGCCATTGTTCCAGATAGTGATGTTTTAATGAGCCAGAAGGAGTTAATGCCCATGGTTGAAACCACATCATAGTTACAATAGTAAAATGTTAGTGTACATAGAAATTTTTTTTTTCTTTTTCTTTCCAATGTGAAAATTAGTCATAGAGATGAAACTTTTAGAGAGCAATGGTTGAGGTGTGTAGAGAGAATGACAGATAACAGAGAGACAAAATGAAACATTACAGAAAGTTTAATGTGAGTACACCATGAAGCAGACCAAGAAGACAGTAAAACTCTCCTTTAAACACCAGTGGCACACCGGGCATATGAGGCTAGACTCATATTTTTATAGACCATTTGGCCTTCAATGGGTCATGTTATCACCACACTGGCCGCCTTTACTTGCCAGGGCTTTACCTGGTACCCATTTAAGGCTGGGTTGACCTGAGAGCCAAGGTTATGTTTGAACAAATCTGGTTCCTTGCGAATCTGCAGGCAAGCATCTAGTCCAAGTTATATACAGCTTGACCGAAATAAACACTTGGAGTCTCCAACTGGAAAGAGAATGCTGTTCACAGAATGAAGATGAGTGATATCTGCAGCAATGAACTTTAGGGCCTTGAAATGCTGAAGAATATACACCTTTGACCCTGAGATGTGGGTTTTTTAGTCTGCTCATCTACATCTCATTAACCCATTTTTATGATCTATGAAAGATTTTTTTTTTTTTAAACTAACAGAAGTTTTCAAATGTTGACCAACCACAGTTAATTAAGTGATGGCATATCTCTAAACAACGATGTCTGAGCTCAATAGTGGAATAAAACATTTACTGTAAGATGTATGTCTAATTTTTGTAGTATAAATAAACAGAAATGCACCACTTGGCATGTTGTATTGTGGTTTACAGCTAAGCTGAGATATCTGCACCCTTCTGCCCAACATATTCAGCGTAAAAAGAATCCTTAACAATCGCCTCTTACGACATGTATGTTAGTGCGGAATTCAGTAGTGTCAGAGCTAAAGTCGTCATCTCCTAGAGCAACAGTTTATGTAGTCCTACAGAGCTGAACAATACAGCTATGGGAGAGAATGTGTTATAGTAACAACAGAAAAATAAGGGGTTAACATAACAAAAGAATGAGATAGAAAGGTTAAGAAATGTGTTCCATATATAATGTAACCAGTAAACGTACACTGAGTTCCTTGTACTGAAAGAGTTAATAGTTGTAGTTTTATCTGTGTTCTGTTTTCATTCCTATTTTTCCAAGAAAATGAATACATGATTTATTCCAAATGTACCTGTTGCCAGAAGTCTTCAGTATTTACCTTATCTACTAACTATTACAGGACCTCCTACTTGTTAAAAGCTGTGACCTTTAAACTATTCCTTAATTAATTTATGTCTTGTCTTGTATTTATTTCTAGGCTTGTTTAGTTTCTTGAGTTGTTTTCCCTCCTTCTGAGGTTTCAGCCTGAAAAAGTGACACCTGATGACTCAAGGAGAAGCCACTATACAGATAGGATTCCAACAGCAGACCCCACAAACCCTGTATGTACACTTGTATGAAATGGATACATTATGGTTACGTTTCTGGCGGCTTGACACTCATCTGCGGATTTGAAGGTTGTGGGTTTAGGATTTTCATTCGAATGGTGGCACTTTGTGTCACTAGGTGTTAATTACTTGTTGCGAGGTCCTAGTGGGATTAAATGTCAATCACTCAATGAGGCTCATGACACCTCCCTTCAATGAGGCTCATGACACCTCCCTCCCATGAGGTTGATGAAACCTCCCTCCCATGAGGCTCATGACACCTCCCTCCCATGAGGTTGATGAAACCTCCCTCCCATGAGGCTCATGGCACCTCCCTCCCATGAGGCTCATGACACCTCCGTCCCATGAGGCTCATGACACCTCCCTCCCATGAGGCTCAAGACACCTACCTCCCTTGATTCTCATGACACCTTCCTCCCATGAGGCTCATGACACCTCCCTCCCATGAGGCTAACCCCCATGAGACTCATGACACCTCCCTCCCTTGAGACTCATGACACCTCCCTCCCATTCTACACTGACCTGAAAGTGGTAAATGTAAGCAGCAGAGATGGATCCTGTACTAGCCATTGGAAAAGCTGTAGACCTAGTCTGGATACTTGAAGAGAAATGCTGCAGGTGCTAGAAAAACTTGAAATCAGGATTATTCATTAGAAGTTTGAATTGATAAACAGTTGTTCATTGTTCGTGTGAAAGATCATCTTCATTGCACATCAGACATGACCATAAATGCTCCAATCTCCTCCTGAGTGTCTCCAAGTGTGTTTAAGTGAGTGCAGTGTTTTAGAGTATAGAAGTGAGTGCAGTGTTTTTGAGTATAGAAGTGAGTGCAGCATTTTTGAGTATAGAAGTGAGTGCAGTGTTTTAGAGTATAGAAGTGAGTGCAATGTTTTAGAGTATGGAAGTGAGTGCAGTGTTTTAGAGTATAGAAGTGAGTGCAGTGTTTTAGAGTATAGAAGTGAGTGCAGTGTTTTTGAGTATAGAAGTGAGTGCAGCGTTTTTGAGTATAGAAGTGAGTGCAGTGTTTTAGAGTATAGAAGTGAGTGCAATGTTTTAGAGTATAGAAGTGAGTGCAGTGTTTTAGAGTATAGAAGTGAGTGCAGTGTTTTAGAGTATAGAAGTGAGTGCAGTGTTTTAGAGTATAGAAGTGAGTGCAGTGTTTTTGAGTATAGAAGTGTGTGCAGTGTTTTTTGAGTATAGAAGTGAGTGCAGTGTTTTAGAGTATAGAAGTGAGTGCAGTGTTTTTGAGTATAGAAGTGTGTGCAGTGTTTTTGAGTATAGAAGTGTGTGCAGTGTTTTTGAGTATAGGAGTGCAATGTTTTTGAGTATAGAAGTGAGTGCAATGTTTTTGAGTATAGAAGTGAGTGCAATGTTTTTGAGTATAGAAGTGAGTGCAATGTTTTTGAGTATAGGAGTGCAATGTTTTTGAGTATAGAAGTGAGTGCAATGTTTTTGAGTATAGGAGTGCAATGTTTTTGAGTATAGAAGTGAGTGCAATGTTTTTGAGTATAGAAGTGTGTGCAATGTTTTTGAGTATAGAAGTGTGTGCAGTGTTTTTGAGTATAGAAGTGAGTGCAGTGTTTTAGAGTATAGAAGTGAGTGCAGTGTTTTTGAGTATAGAAGTGAGTGCAGTGTTTTTGAGTATAGAAGTGAGTGCAATGTTTTTGAGTATAGGAGTGCAATGTTTTTGAGTATAGAAGTGAGTGCAATGTTTTTGAGTATAGAAGTGTGTGCAGTGTTTTTGAGTATAGAAGTGAGTGCAGTGTTTTAGAGTATAGAAGTGAGTGCAGTGTTTTTGAGTATAGGAGTGCAATGTTTTTGAGTATAGAAGTGTGTGCAGTGTTTTTGAGTATAGAAGTGAGTGCAGTGTTTTTGAGTATAGGAGTGTGTGCAGTGTTTTTGAGTATAGAAGTGAGTGCAATGTTTTTGAGTATAGAAGTGTGTGCAGTGTTTTTGAGTATAGAAGTGAGTGCAGTGTTTTTGAGTATAGAAGTGAGTGCAGTGTTTTTGAGTATAGAAGTGTGTGCAGTGTTTTTGAGTATAGGAGTGCAATGTTTTAGAGTATAGAAGTGAGTGCAGTGTTTTTGAGTATAGAAGTGAGTGCAGTGTTTTTGAGTATAGAAGTGTGTGCAGTGTTTTTGAGTATAGAAGTGAGTGCAGTGTTTTTGAGTATAGAAGTGAGTGCAGTGTTTTTGAGTATAGGAGTGCAATGTTTTTGAGTATAGAAGTGAGTGCAATGTTTTTGAGTATAGAAGTTAGTGCAATGTTTTTGAGTATAGAAGTGTGTGCAATGTTTTTGAGTATAGAAGTTAGTGCAATGTTTTTGAGTATAGAAGTTAGTGCAATGTTTTTGAGTATAGAAGTGAGTGCAATGTTTTTGAGTATAGAAGTGTGTGCAATGTTTTTGAGTATAGAAGTGAGTGCAATGTTTTTGAGTATAGAAGTGAGTGCAATGTTTTTGAGTATAGAAGTTAGTGCAATGTTTTTGAGTATAGAAGTGTGTGCAATGTTTTTGAGTATAGAAGTGTGTGCAATGTTTTTGAGTATAGAAGTGTGTGCAATGTTTTTGAGTATAGAAGTGTGTGCAGTGTTTTTGAGTATAGAAGTGAGTGCAGTGTTTTTGAGTATAGAAGTGTGTGCAGTGTTTTTGAGTATAGAAGTGAGTGCAGTGTTTTTGAGTATAGAAGTGTGTGCAGTGTTTTTGAGTATAGAAGTGTCTGCAATGTTTTTGAGTATAGAAGTGTGTGCAATGTTTTTGAGTATAGAAGTGTGTGCAATGTTTTTGAGTATAGAAGTGTGTGCAGTGTTTTTGAGTATAGAAGTGAGTGCAGTGTTTTTGAGTATAGGAGTGCAATGTTTTTGAGTATAGAAGTGAGTGCAATGTTTTTGAGTATAGAAGTTAGTGCAATGTTTTTGAGTATAGAAGTTAGTGCAATGTTTTTGAGTATAGAAGTGAGTGCAATGTTTTTGAGTATAGGAGTGCAGTGTTTTTGAGTATAGAAGTGTGTGCAATGTTTTTGAGTATAGAAGTGTGTGCAGTGTTTTTGAGTATAGAAGTGTGTGCAATGTTTTTGAGTATAGAAGTGTGTGCAGTGTTTTAGAGTATAGAAGTGAGTGCAATGTTTTTGAGTATAGAAGTGTGTGCAATGTTTTTGAGTATAGAAGTGTGTGCAGTGTTTTTGAGTATAGAAGTGTGTGCAATGTTTTTGAGTATAGAAGTGTGTGCAATGTTTTTGAGTATAGAAGTGTGTGCAATGTTTTTGAGTATAGAAGTGTGTGCAGTGTTTTTGAGTATAGAAGTGTGTGCAGTGTTTTTGAGTATAGAAGTGTGTGCAATGTTTTTGAGTATAGAAGTGTGTGCAATGTTTTTGAGTATAGAAGTGTGTGCAATGTTTTTGAGTATAGAAGTGTGTGCAATGTTTTTGAGTATAGAAGTGTGTGCAATGTTTTTGAGTATAGAAGTGTGTGCAGTGTTTTTGAGTATAGGAGTGCAATGTTTTTGAGTATAGAAGTGAGTGCAATGTTTTTGAGTATAGAAGTGTGTGCAGTGTTTTTGAGTATAGAAGTGTGTGCAGTGTTTTTGAGTATAGAAGTGTGTGCAGTGTTTTTGAGTATAGAAGTGAGTGCAATGTTTTTGAGTATAGAAGTGAGTGCAATGTTTTTGAGTATAGAAGTGTGTGCAATGTTTTTGAGTATAGGAGTGCAGTGTTTTTGAGTATAGGAGTGCAATGTTTTTGAGTATAGAAGTGTGTGCAATGTTTTTGAGTATAGAAGTGTGTGCAGTGTTTTTGAGTATAGGAGTGCAATGTTTTAGAGTATAGAAGTGAGTGCAATGTTTTTGAGTATAGAAGTGAGTGCAATGTTTTTGAGTATAGAAGTGTGTGCAGTGTTTTTGAGTATAGAAGTGTGTGCAGTGTTTTTGAGTATAGGAGTGCAATGTTTTTGAGTATAGAAGTGAGTGCAATGTTTTTGAGTATAGAAGTGAGTGCAATGTTTTTGAGTATAGAAGTTAGTGCAGTGTTTTTGAGTATAGAAGTGTGTGCAGTGTTTTTGAGTATAGAAGTGAGTGCAATGTTTTAGAGTATAGAAGTGTGTGCAGTGTTTTTAAGTATAGAAGTGAGTGCAGTGTTTTTGAGTATAGAAGCGAGTGCAATAGTTTTCGAGTATATAAGTGAGTGCTATGTTTTTAAGTATAGAAGTGAGTACAGTGTTTTAAACTATAAAAGTGAGTGCAATAGTTTTTGAGTATAGAAGTGAGTGCAATGTTTTTGAGTATAGAAGTGAGTGCAGTGTTTTTGAGTATAGAAGTAAGTGCAATGTTTTTGAATATAGAAGTGAGTGCAGTGTTTTTGAGTATAGAAGTAAGTGCAATGTTTTTGAATATAGAAGTGAGTGCAGTGTTTTTGAGTATAGAAGTAAGTGCAATGTTTTTGAATATAGAAGTGAGTGCAATGTTTTTGAGTATATGAGTGCATTGTTTTTGAGTATAGAAGTGAGTGCAATGTTTTTGAATATGCAAGTGAGTGCAATGTTTTTGAGTATATGAGTGCAGTGTTTTTGAGTATAGAAGTAAGTGCAGCGTTTTGGAGTATAGAAGTGAGTGCAGTCTATTTTTGAATATGGAATTGTTTAGTTGTTTGTGACTTTGCAACAAAATGTATGGTTTAGATGTGTGTAGTTTGATTAAAATCATTGTTTAGCCATGTGAAGAGGTAGATCATTTTATGAGTTTTGGTGAGTACATATGATATCAGTATATTTATAAAATACCGATTGGTGCTTTTCTAAAGTGTAATCAAAACTATAGATCTGTTTTTGTTAGAATGCATTTTTATTCATTAAATCAGTCAAGAGAAAAATAATCAGAAAATAGCTTGCTTGTTAGATGTTTTAGCAATGTATTGTTCAGTCTTTATGTGATACTGTTGTGAAGAAATTAATGATCTCGTTAAGATATTCCCCACTGGGTCCTCGTAGTATCTGTGCATAAACTTTCTCTTGTATGTTGTATTAATCTCTGCTCAATTTGAAAGAAAAAAAATGAATTATTCTTTATGGCTGCTCTGTAAAGCATAGATTTGATACTGGTAGAAGGGAGTTGCTGTGGCATAGCAGTTACACACTTGCCTGCAAGCCTGAAGATCTCAGGTTTTAATCTGCATTGAGTCTGATGTTTTTTTCCCTCCAAAAATGACATTGTGTCCCAGGTGGACCCTGGTCTAAAATGGGAACCGGGTAAAGTTCTGGGAAGTAAAGGTACCTGGCATGATGCTGACCATATCACCCATTGTGTGCTGATTGGTCCACACAAATATGAACATAGCATGTCTGATATGTCACTGGCTTGTAAAGGATCTGTTGCGTCTGTCTGATGATAATGTTGTGTCTGAGGTCAGTATGATGGTAATAATCAGTGGTTCTTTCCCAACTCACACTCATAGCTTGTATCCACACATGTGTTGCGCTCATATGCTGATCCACATCAGGGTTGTTCAGCTCTGATTACTCTGGGGCCAAAATATTGAAAAATGGGGATCGTCAGGGGCCAGAATCTGGAGCCCTAGCTTAAGAAAAATCACTAAAACAATACAGTTGCCAATGCTCTTGCCAGGCCTCTGCAGGCCAGATTTGACCTGGGGACTGCTAGCAGTATAACTCTGCAGGGTGCAGGAGATGGGCCTGTTTTTCTCAGATACTATACTCGGGTGTAGGTTGTTGATTTGTGTGTGTGTTTTGTTTTGTGTTTGTATTTCAGAGTTATACTGTGGCATGGTGCAGGAGATGGGCCTGTTTTTCTCAGATACTATACTCGGGTGTAGGTTGTTGATTTTGTGTGTGTGTGTGTTTTTTTTTTTTTTGTATTTCAGAGTTATACTGTGGCATGGTGCAGGCTCTTGCAGTTGTTAAGTAAGAACAGGGAGCTTCAAATAAAAACCTTGGGAGAGGGGGGGGGGGGGAGGTGAATGTATTCTAAAAACAAAACGTTAAAACAAATGTATCAATTTTTGATGTGGTCACCACTGCTGTATGATTATGGGACGACTGTAGGGTGATGATAATGAATGACGGACTAACGCTTAGATGACCACTTAGCGATTACGTGTTCAGCAGCCCATGGGAGTTTCTGACTGGTACATTGTGACAGATGATGGAACACTCCAGGACTCATAAAGACTTGACTGTCCTTAGGTTGAACGGTAGACTAGATGAAAAGAGTTTGTTATACAGGTTTTTTGGCCACTGCTCAAAGATGTCATCAAAAAACCTGTAAATGCCAGGAAAAACATCTTTCTCAGGGTGAAAATATAGTTGTGACTGCAGTCAAGCTTCCCCATTTCGTTAAGCCTTTTAGTCATATTTCACTGCAATTACTCAGGGCGGCATGTTTCTCCTCATTTATAAGGCATCTTATGAAGCAGTACTTCATATTTGGAAACCGGATCAGGTTACTCAGATCTATAGATAATCCTACATTGTGTGCATCGTTTTCCAAATGACATTTTATCTGAAGATTTAAAAAAAAAAACCCACTGTATGATAGTAATTTTTTGTGATGCTTGGAGGAAAAACCCAGGTTGTTGCTGGAGTTGAGCAAGCTATTCTACACTGGTGCACAGTCAAAACATGAACACTTTTTTGTAATCAGATCACATTTGTTTCATTAATCATCTTCATTAAAATTGAATAATGCCTCACACATGACTGTGCATGTATTTTGTGATTATCTTTAAAGCTGCATTATCCAGAATCACTCACGGCTGTGGTGCTTCTGCTGTCACTGTGGCGTATCTGTCGCTGGCGTTGTCACGTCTTTTCTTTGTCTGGTGCTGTCAGGTCTTCTCTTTTGTCTGGTGCTGTCATGTCTTTTCTTTGTTTGTCTGGTGCTGTCATGTCTTTTCTTTGTTTGTCTGGTGCTGTCAGGTCTTTTCTTTGTTTGTTTGATGCTGTCAGGTCTTTTCTTTGTCTGGTGCTGTCATGCCTTTTCTTTGTCTGGTGCCGTCATGTCTTTCCTTTGTCTGGTGCTGTCAGGTCTTTTCTTTGTTTGTCTGGTGCTGTCATGTATTTTTTTGTCTGGTGCTGTCATGTCTTTTCTTTGTTTGTCTGGTGCTGTCATGTATTTTTTTTGGTCTGGTGTTGTCATGTCTTTTCTTTGTTTGTCTGCTGCTGTCATGTCTTTTCTTTGTTTGTCTGGTGCTGTCATGTATTTTTTTTTGGTCTGGTGTTGTCATGTCTTTTCTTTGTTTGTCTGCTGCTGTCATGTCTTTTCTTTGTCTGGTGCTGTCATGTCTTTTCTTTGTTTGTCTGGTGCTGTCATGTCTTTTCTTTGTCTGGTGCTGTCGTGCCTTTTCTTTGTCTGGTGCTGTTGCATCTTTCTTTGTCTGGTGCTGTCATGTCTTTTCTTTGTCTGGTGCTGTCATGTCTTTTCTTTGTCTGGCGCTGTCATGTCTTTTCTTTGTCTGGTGCTGTCATGTCTTTTCTTTGTCTGGTGCTGTCATGTCTTTTTTTTTGTCTGGTGCTGTCATGTCTTTTTTTTTTTGTCTGGTGCTGTCGTGCCTTTTCTTTGTCTGGTGCTGTTGCATCTTTTTTTTGTCTGGTGCTGTCATGTCTTTTCTTTGTCTGACGTTGTCACGTTTTTTCTTTATCTGGTGCTGTCGTACTTTTTCTTTGTCTGGTGCAGTTGCGTCTTTTCTTTGTCTGGTGCTGTTGTCTTTTCTTTGTCTGGTGCTGTCATGTCTTTTTTTTGTCTGGTGCTGTCATGTCTTTTTTTTTGTCTGGTGCTGTCGTGCCTTTTCTTTGTCTTGTGCTGTTGCATCTTTTCTTTGTCTAGTGCTGTCATGTCTTTTCTTTGTCTGACGTTGTCAC